AAACAAATCAGGGAAAAGTTTTGCATGTTTATATTGCCGTGCTTCGGAGCGGAAGAATGAGAAATAAAAGTCTGCAAAAAAAGCCAGTAGAAAAACCATAAGAAGATGCCGGAGAGCATCAGCGGGAGACGAAGCCGTCGAGGCAATGATAATTACAAAAACAGTCAACGAATGCACTTTGTCGAATCAAAGTTTAACAAGAAATTTGCGTCACTAATGGAAGCACTTGCAGTCATGTTGATCGATGTGGCATGGCGTCCCGGCGGGGACCCTCTGTTGGTGGAGGCCTCAAGCCTGACCTGCTTATGGCTGCACATTCGCCAGATACCAGATAGCTGACAGATACAAAATGCATAAGCTGCTCACAGTTTAATCGGTTTATGTGACAGCCGAGGGACAGCCGAGGGAGGCGTGTCATGGTCTCGAAGTCACACAACGGACACACTACTAAATCATAAAGGATTTGCAAGTTACGTCCAGCCAGGACTGTGGACTGTACTGCGGAGGACCTGCAAGGAAAAACTAAAAATAAAACCACCAGGAGCAGCATCAAGTGGCTGTCAATGCGTTTTGGGATGTGCTCAAGATAAGATGCAGTCCAGCAACCACAGAGTCCTGGGGAAAGCTCTTCTCTGTCAAAGTTTTGCCCGGGATTAAAGGCAACAGAGGAGCAAGAGAGAAACCCATAGAGAAAACGCACCAAAGGACAATTAAGCAACGCGGTGGGGGAAAATGGCAGCTGGGCAAAACCCTTGTGTGGTTTGTGTGGCTTGATTAAGAAGTTTTCGGTTTATAAATGATACAAGCGCCAGCAAATTATTCAAACTAATTTGTTTAAAGCCCAGCGTCGGCTGGGATTCCTTGCTGTTAAAGCAGCCCTCAGGAAGGAGTCTTGTGATATTTGAAGATTAAATAGTAGATATTAGATATGAGAGATGAGATTAGATGCGAGATGCCATTAATTATGGGGGATTTATAATTAGGCAAAGTGCAGACTTAAATATATACATGTATATTTATTAGGAATTTAATAAAATATTTTCACCAACGTATTGGACTCTTGTGCCGCTCTCTATATATCTCTCACAGTGTGGCTTAGCAGCAAAGACCTCTTCCAGTCACACATATTTATGTATTGCAGGGCACAAAAAATACCCTAATGACTCAGTAAATATTGTTTACAAAAAGGTCAAAAAGTTTGGATTTCTGTGCTTTAATGTGCCAATAAGTTAGTGGAATAAACTGATTTTTCACGTCGATCCTCTTTGAAGGAAAAAACCATAGCATTACGAGCACAATCAAACAAGAAGGCAAAGTTCTTCGCTTAACTTCATTAACATATCTCGAACAGCAAGTTGAACAATCTAAAGGAAAGTCCCTCGAAAAGTTCCCAAATGAGATGAAAGTCTTATTCAATGTTTCGTGAATTTTCGAGAAATATGCAAATTATCTACACTTTATACCGATGTCTCATCTAATTAGACTTTGCACGGCGAAAGTTTTTCTCTTGCAAATTGCCTCAAATTGGACAAAAATTGTCGAAAGGTCAGGCCGGCCACTCGACAAACTTTGACCGGGACTAAATCAATGTTTGCCCTGTCCTCTCGTTTGGGTCGAAACCTGCGATATTGATATGCTTTTGTCCCCCGTTTTGAAGGATAAATCTTAATGTCTACCTAATCAATAAATAATTGCCATTTTTCTGTTTGGCAAAAATATCCATTTCATCGAAATCGTAGGCAAGCCACAGACAAATCCAAGATAAGCCAATTGTAAATAAAAACCGAAAAAGGTTTTTCTCTCCCCTCTCCCCGGGAAAAACCAGAAACCCAAAATTTCTTAGAAACAGAAGAACGAAAAATAAAATGAAATGAAATACTTTCGATTGACATATACGTATTTTCGTGATGGAATCCATTGTTTGTAGGAGTCGTCGTTGGTCTCTTTCGTTGGGGAAATGGGAAATGAACTTCTTGTTTAAGATGGTGTGCGAGTGGAGTGGATTCTGTGTGTCTGTGTGTGTGTGTGTGTGTGTGTGTGTCTGTGGGGAAAAACGAAAGTAATGCAGTTGTATTGAGGGAGGGAGTCGACACGACTTCAGCACAAATTTAATATTGTAAATGGAAATCCCGCATGGAGGACGAACAGGAGCCAGAACAGTAGAGCCAGGAGTAGCAGGAGCTGTGTCAGCGTGAGTGCGTAGCCCAGGAGAGTGGAAAATTTCGTGTAAAGTGTCCTGGCACTTAACCGTACAATTGATTTTTGACAAATACGTTGCTGCTGTTGCGATGCTCACCTTTCGCCGCGATGTTGGTGCCCCTCGCTGTTGTTGCCACAGCTGACGACCGAGTGTCAACAATGGCAAGGGCTGACAAACGCGAAATCAAACTATGCAAATGAGGACCCCGCCCCCAACACACAATCAGCGCCTCAGCGCCTGACCCTTGACCCAGGCGTGACCCAACGCAGCACAGCACAAGCCAGTAAGAACTTTAAAGTAGACATAACGACTATAAGATACCCAAAACTGGGAAAGTCTCTTAAATTGGAGGAAGATTGAGAGATTGGTATACACGATCTAATGAAACCTAAACATATTTGTAGATTAGTAACATCTGATCTCTATACTGCATATCTATATCTCTATATATCTCTATTTTCTCGCTCGATTTCTATATCTATATAGACCCTTTCTCGTAGCGACTACCGGGTACTACAATCGCAATAACCTTAATCAAAAGCGACTGCTTTCGAGGTGTGGTGTGCTGTCTGTCACTGAATGAAATAAATGTAAATTTCATAAATGAAGTAAAGAGACACACAATTGGCAGATCGCTCCGCACAGGCGTCTGTCTGCTGGCAGCTCATTGGCCCGGTCACACATCCCAGGGCCATCAATATATCATCAATATTAAAATGCAATTACAATCCTCCTGGCAGGGGCAGGGGGGTAATCGCATAAAAAATTAACCATCGAATTGTGCTAAACGATGGCCTGGCCTCGAACCTGCTGATACCTTGATTTCCCATCCACATTCAACGCAGTTCTGTGTTGTCTGTTTGTCTCCTGGTTTCGGACTGTTTTTCTCCTGGTTTTGCAACGTTTTTCTCTTGGTTTTTTCCCTGATTTCCTACTGGTTTTGCACCGTTTTTCTCTTGGCTTTCCACTTTTTTCCTCCAGCTGTGCCGCGCCGTGTCCTCGCCTGAAAGTATGCCACGGGTTTGTGCCACGGGAGATGCTCCGACTGGTTTTAGTAGCTTTGCTCTTGGCACTGCAGTGGGACAGAATTTGCTCAACATTTAGTCGGGAATCAGAGTCGTTTTGGTTAGCTACACCACAATTGTGGGGGTAGTCGTAGTCACCACCGAAACTAAGAGAAACTCTGTTGTTAATTCCATTTTGATATCTGGGAAATGTCAGGGGAAACTCCAAAACTCTCGAGGCTCCTGCAGAAAAATACAGCCAAATTATTCGGATTCAACCGCCGTTGTGGAAAACTCATGTATGAAAAATCATATTCTTGAAAGGCTTTAAATAAAATTCAATTATCTTTGTGTCAAAAGCAAACTTTTCGCACATTTTACCAGCGCCTGACGCTTCCACAACTTCAGACTGAAGCTGAAGGGTGAAAATAAATCAACTGAAGGAAACAATATTACACTTTTGCCGCTGTCCGCCTAAAAGAGATGTTCGAGGGTGTAGGCAAAGCCTCAAACCTACTATCCACAGCTCTGGTATACTTCTGAAAAAAACAAACCAAAGAAAACCCACATATTTCTTACATTTTCACCAAAAGCCATTGCAGATAAAGCAAATGCTTCTGATCCTTAAATGTTTATATAAATTTATGTGAAAACTAAAGATTACACAGCACTATAAACTATATAGCTGCTGCACTTTCAAAATGTGTCCCCCGCAAATGGCGTAAGGCCACTGTTAAGGTAAATTTATGACTGAAACTTAATATCACAGCCCCCTACGAAACAACATTAATTCAAAGTCTTTACGACTTGTGCCATTTAACTATCTTTTGAGTATTATAAATTAGAGTAGAGCCAAAGCTAGTGGGCGTAGAAATTTGTATAACTTTTCGAGAAAACCCATAGCCGATATACCTGGATATTTGTCGCGATTTCGGCTTGTCCATCTGGAAATTCCCCAATAATAGATATTGGGGAACATTTTTAAAGGAAAAATCTACAAGGTTGGAATATCTCTCCTCAAATGAGTTTTATTTTATGGAGCAAAATAATGCTCTACTAAAAATTATGCTTTATCTATAAATTTGTTTATTTTTAACAAGAATTCCTTTGGGTTTCAATGAAAAATTATGAACGAAAATATTATACGCCCGACTAACCAAATTCTTTACATTTAAGAGGGAAATTCCTATTATTTAAAAGTAGCAAAAAATACCCTACATGCAAAACTTTTCGTAAATTAATGAATGTATAGAAATTGTATATTTCCATGGCTTGAAGTCCGTATAAATTGAAGAAAGAATGTTATGCGCTGCAGCCAAAAATTTGTATAAATTTAAGGAGCAACCTAGGGGCAAGCGAGATACCTGAAATGTAAATATTTACTATAGACTTAAGGAGCAACATACCATAATATGCTACCCCAGAATTTGTGTAAATTGAAATATCAACAAAATATATGCTAAACCTCAAAATTAGCATAAATTTAAGCATCAGCACAGGAATATTTGTACTCCATATAAATAGCATTTGAATCCGTATAAATTAAAGTCGTATCCCAACACATCTCATAGTTCGTATGAGTTTTCACACGCGATACCGATACAAATACAGATACAGATACAGATGTCAAGTGTCGAATTCCGCAATCGATTCATTAGTTTGGTTCAGCGAAACGTAATGCCAATCGCCAGTGGGTAATGGCATTCAGAGTTTCGCATGACCAATCGATGGATAAAGCCTACCCCAAAACCGCAGATGGATACCCCTTAACGAACCGCAGTTCCAGTTACAATTACCTTTGGCAGGCGTGTTACAATCGCTTCAATATTTGTCAGGGAAAATGGTCATTAATATTGCAGGACGGGTCCAAGTGGAGTAGCGTTAACAGCGCAAATGGTAAGAGTCGTGGCTAATAATAAAGAGTTCCAGTTCCAAAAATAAAAGCCACAACTCCAGCTCACACTTAATCTAGTTGGGGGACCCAGAGGCAGGGGCAGTGCCAGTGCCAGTGGCAGTGGCAGCAGTTGAAGCTGCAGATGAAGCTACTTCAGCTCTAGCACATTGTCGACTCCTCTCCTCTCACCTCTCCGCTCTCTCTTTCTCTACTCTCTGTTTCTCCATCGAATCTTTCCCCAGACCTCTCACTAGAGCTTATGTATAATGCATGGCATCGGTCCCAGGTCCCTGGTCCCTGGTCCGTGGCCCCTGGTCCATGGCTGAGTTGTAAACGTAACCAGGCAACGCAGCCACGATGCCAGACTGGTCTTAATCGGAGGAGGAGTACCAGTGTAGTGCCAGTGGAGGAAAACCTGAGCGGCCACGGGGGGCACACAAAAAACTGTCAGCGTCATCGCCGTTGCGGCCCGGCACTTGGCTTTTAATATTCAAAATAGGAAAATTGGCAAAACCCAAGCGGTCGAGCAAAAAAAAAAACCCCCCCCAAAAAAAAAACCAACCTAAAATCGCCGAATGCACAGAAATAACATCATACTGGAGGAAAATGCCGCCGCCGTCGCCGCCGCTGTCAGACGTTGTTGAAGCACAAGGAATTTATATTTATATTTTCCTCCGACGAGACGAGATGCGAGTTTTCTTTGTGGATTTTTTGTTTGTTTCTTTTCCTTCTTTCGGCTGGATTGATGGACAATTGTCGGCCGAAATTGTCCCAAAAGACGTCGCAGAGTACGCAAAATACACAGAGAGCCACGGAATTGACGGAGCCACCGAAACAGACGACGCCGACGACGGTTTCCGGAGGAGAATCGGAGGAGACTTACACGTCGCGCAGTCGAAATTCAACTAAAATGCTTGAAAACTCCGGACAGGCAGAAAGTCAGGCAGCGGCATCGGCATCAGGCCAGGCAGCAAGCAGGCCGTGGCAGGCAACACCAGGCCGTGGCAGAGGCAAATACAAGAGACCAGAGACCCCGACCAGACCGGCAACACAGAGTAGCAGTGGCAGAGACATCCCGTACCCCCAACTGGAGAGAGAGGCAGAGAGTGTACCCCCAGAGAGCGACAGAGACATGAGACTTTCTTTTGCGGAGCAATAGCAATGCAAAATAGCCAAATAGCCACAGAGAAATGTGGCCAAATGGAGAGAGTGAGAGAGAGAGAGAGATTGTGGCAGAGAGCAAGCTTCATTGAGGAATTTCAATCGAAGGAGAAAGAGATTGATTGGGAGAGAGATGGAGAGAGAGAGAGAGCTTTTTCCAGCGCCACCACCACCACTCTCATTGCGCAACGAAAAGAAAAACTGGAAAACTCTGCAAAAATTTGTCGGCAAAAATATAGTAACGCTTTTTTTGTTCATGTTTTTCATCTGCTCCCCCACAACATTCCAGCAAGAGAGCAGCAGCCAAGAGTCAAGAGCTATAGAGCCACACTCGTTAGATTACAATATAATTGTACACCAAGCAGGCATGCACCCTAGACATTCCACAGACCAGACCGGCCGAACCGAAGGCGCTCTGCACTGTCCTCGGGCATAATTTGCCCTGGTCTTGTAATTGAAATTTCATGGATTATTCCCAGACATTCAACTCCAAAAAACTTTTCGTACAAAACTATTGAAACATTTTGTGGAAAGCACAACGGATGCCACCACCCCAGCCCGATGCTCCTCCTCCGGGAAACCAACTGTTGATCAGAGTGCCCCGAGGGGCATCTTTTGGATTGAATGGATGGGATGGATTCCCCTAGCTTAGCATTGGAATTTTTGCGGGCTCTTGTAAATAGTATGAGTATGGGTGATGGGTGGCTCTGGCTATGGCTCTGGCACTGGTTAATGAAGCGCTTTATTGGCCCACAGCCAACGGCCAAAAGAGGTGAATGGAGTCTCGGTCTCTGTCTCGGTCTCGGCTCCGACTCACTTCCACTTGGTTGGGCTTTACTCTGCTCTCCCCATCGGATACAATGGAAGGTCAGGCCCTCGGGGGGCCAGCGTTTCTTTCGCTTTTTGTGTGGTGTCGTCTAGAGAGTTGAGACGACCGTTTGAGTTGTTATTGCAATAGCAAATTTTGGTAATGAAATCGAAACAAATACCGAAAGTGGTCATAAAGCGGTTCCCCAAACGCCAGCTGGAGTCGAATATTAAGCAGTCCGCTGTGGAGGAGGTTTAACAATGTAATATGGTACTCTGTAGCAGGCCAACTTTGCGCAGCAGTTGGTAGTAGAAGATTGTGGCTTAAATGTTTGAATTTGAGATGATTTCAGGGCTCCGAATGCCCTTCAATTGGTGGGTTCTGACATTTCTAAGCTGAGTTATACAATGACTTTTGGGAGCTCTAAAATTTACTTAATTTTCACCATTTCCTGTGGCAGAATCATTACTATATATCTTTTCAAACTGCTATACATACCTCTGGGTCTTTCAAAGTCCATTATATAGACCTAAGACCCTCCCACACCCATTGAAAAATAAATGGAATTGTTTTGTTGGTTTTTTGTTTTGGTGTTCAATAGATTTCTTTATTGCAATTTCTTGTATTTTCTGAAATTCATATATATGTATAGTGTATATATATATATATCCAATTATATATATAAATGTATATATAATTAATTTAATTTGTTTGTTCATGAATTATTGAGAGAACAATTTTGTTTGTTGTTTAGTTCAAATAGTATACAATTTGCTTAACTATACAATAATTAAAAAACAGTTTTTCAAAATAATACGCGAGAGAACGGAAACCAAAAGAAAACAAAAAAATAAAATCATATGAGAAATGGTTTGGTTTTCCCGTTCAAATAGCTTGCAATATTTAATATTAATTTAGTTGTTATTTTTTATTATTAATGCTCTTCATTGTAAAAACTTAACAAATGTTTTGTTGCCCTTTCGATCGTTATATTTGTTGCTTGTTTCGCATTTGTGCAAAGCGCGTTCCATGGCGGTTTTCTTGTTAGTTTTTATTAGTTTCTTCTCGTTCTCGTTCCTATGCTTATGTTTAGATGTAAATGTAGGCGTAATATTCGCCAAGAGATATATTCAAAATGTACAAGAGAATTAGCTAATGAAAGTTCTTGTAAAATCAAAGAAAACCTTGTGGAAACAATCTTAAAAAGTAGCTGTTTTCATTAACCACTCACTACACCCCTAGAGCAATTTGTAAACTTGTTTTCCTAGTGGGAAAATTGGGAAATTTTAAGCATTCTTTGTTTGCTCTCAAACAGTTATTTGCATTTTGAACTCCTCAAAGGTTGTTCCCCCTCATCTTCTTGGCTGGAAACACTTGCTTCGGTTCCTCCCTTCCCTCTGAGAATAATTGCAGCGATTTTCCTTCCCCAAGTAATCCTACCCGCAGGTTAGTCACTGAGTGAATGATGAGCAAAAAAGTGCCAACTGCTGGAAAATTTCGTTTGTTTTTCTCAAGTTTTCAAGTTCTCTGCCCGAAAAGTTACTCGTTTTTTCGTTTGTTTGTTTGTTTTGATTGAAGCCAAAAATGAAGATGAAGACGAACTTCGAGTACACCTTTTCTATATATTTATATAGTTTTTCCTTGGGTTGGGGTGTGGAAAAGTTTAAGTTAACACGTGCCTGAGAGTCTCGAATGAAGCATGAGGGTACTTTTTGATTGGTTTTTGGTTTTCTGTTTAATTAGGCAATGGCGAAAGCGTCGCTAACTGCATTTTAGATGAACTTAAAGCTTCCAGACCAAACCCTCAACTGCCTGCCATCCCACACACACCCACATTGGAGGCAGCAGAGTCTTTACACAACGCATAAGGAACTGGCAAACCGAGCTATAAAGCATTTATGTTTTATATACATTCTTCTTCTATTTTTCTTGGATTTTTTTATCCTATGGCTTGTGTAAAAAATATTTTATTATTAAGCTTTTTTATTGGGGGGGATAAAACATTTTTTTGGGGCTTAAGAACTTTTGCTTTTCGGCTTTGTCTTGTTTTTGTCAAGCAATTTGTTGTAGGTATTATCTATATATAGTTTGGGGTTATGTTTAAGATCCGATATAAGATTCATGGGTATGTTGTTGTTGTTGTATGGTCAACGTAAAAGTTTCTAGGAAATACAATTGGAAATTGATATGAGAGAAATAAAGATGATCTATGATTCATCTGGAAATATTCCTAGAGAAATAATGATGACCTACGATCATGTATTGCTGCTTAGATTTGATTGGTTCTTTTTATAGATTTGAGACCTCATATAAGTAAACAAAAGGATGATCTAGGATCCTTAAAAATATCTCTAATTTCTTTGCTCCGAAGGGAGATCCGATCCTCTGTCTGAAAGTGAAACTTAGGATCGTATTTATATGAGAACCCCAGAAAATAGCCGATATGTCTTGACTGAAACATTATTTTCTTTGGACAGACTGAAACATGATATGATATGGAACCCAAAGATGATTCGTTTTCCTTGGATCCCTGTGTCGATCTCTGAATACTTAGGGAATACATAGGTGTACATACATATCTCTGTATACTCTGGATACTTAGACAATACGTATGCGAAGGATGATAGCCTTAGATTTCGATTAGATATTGCTTAGATGGTGGATAGAGGATCATAGAGTGGCCGTTGGGCCTTGGCTGCCTTTAGAGGAAGGCCTTCTTGCTGGTCTCCAGATTGGCGTTGCCTGCGGCTGTAGCTGTGGTGGTTGTTGTGGAAATTCCGCTGTCCTTGCCCACACTAGCGGTTGTGGAGACCGCAATGGTTGGTGGCACAATCGGTGCCACTATGGTGGTTGTTGTGGCTCCAACGCCTACTGCCGTTGCCGCTGCTGTGGCTGCACCGCCATGGGTATTGGTGCTGGCCATGGGCGACGGTGTGGCCGCCAGTTGGGTGGGGAATCGGGGCTGAAATGTCGGCTTGCCCATGGCCAAGGCCGGATTCAAATCGAGCATCGTACGCGGACTCATCGCCACGATGCTGGCGCCCAGTGGACCTGCGAAGAGTTGAGCAACTATTTGTGTTAAGGCCGCCGCAAAAGATAGTTTCATACGAGAGTTTTTTGAGGTAGGTAGGAGATAGGTAGGATATAGCCGGAAAAGATAGTTACAGAAAGAGAGAGAGAGAGAGAGCGGAGAGAGAAGAAAGAAAAGAGAGAAAGAGAGAGAAATAAATATTATTTTCATTGTTTTCCAAAAGCTGAGAGACCAAATTCGTTTGGGTTTTAATCGCATTTCAAGTGGGACACAACTTTATGTAGTTTTTGATTACTGGGTGCACTTTTTGGTTACTACAATACGTGACAGAAGGGGGGTGTTTGGGGTTTGTGGGGTGGGGTGGGTTGGGGTGGTTGAACAACACATACACATACACAAGAACACACATACACATAAATAACAAGTACGATTACAGGGAGACATCGACTAAGCACTAAACACTAATCACACATCCTCGAAAGTTTTCCGAGATTCGAGTCAAGGAACGTTGCAACACATGCAGCATGCTTTTCAAACACTTATATTGTAAGGTATTTATTGTACGTATACATATACATATCTCTAGAGCTACACATATCGCAAAGAGGAATTTCCGTTCAAGTTTTGCAGTAGGGAAAAAGTTACGGATCAGGGGGGACAAACTTTTCTAGAATCAATGCTGTTGGGGAGATGGTGTGGGGTGGTTTTTTCTCTAGCTAGTAGTTTTGGAAGTTTTGTTCAACTATTTGACACTTTTGCAAGGGATTCGGATTCGGATTCGGATTCGATACGGGGTTATAGAGTTTTAATAGTTTAATAGGGAGAGCGAGACAGAGAGAGAGAGAGAGAGAGAGTTATGCTTTGGCTTTGGAAATTACGTTTAGAGTTAGATTTATTAGATTTTCTATACTAGGAGTAGGAGGAGGAGATTATTAAAAAGGTTTTAACCAACACACCCGCCCAGCAGAGTCCATGGTTTTTTGGTTAGCAGATAGCATGAATGATGAACGACAGAACGAACGAACGAACGAAGGATTTTTCTTTTTACATAATTACGAGTATAACTGAGTTTTTTCTTCTTTTTTTTTGATTTCGTTACGTTTTTGGTTCGATTTTTGTTGTAGAGTTTCGGTCTTTTTTTGTTTCATTATTTTTGTTTGATTTTTTTGATTTTTGTTTTGTGTCTTTTTCGGGTTTTTAATAAATTACAAAATAGCTTTCTGGTATGTTTTCTTTTTTTCTGTTTAGTCGAAACTGAAGGCCATATCTGAAATACAAGAGTTCAAGATAATACAGAGAGTTTTTCGATTGTTTTTATACCTATATCTATGGGGGGGATACTGAAGGGGAATTCGCCTTTGATATTTTTTGTATTTGGGAATAACAAAAATACACGCACACACACAGAGATACAGAGAGAGAGAGAGAGGCAGAGAGAGAAGATACACTTAAAGAGATACATATTTATAGAGCGGAATATAATATATATTATATGTTGATCATTTATATTCTATTGTAACCAAGAAACGAACGAGCCAGAACTGAAGAACAACACGTATACGATATTTATATAGAATATTGATATGATAGATACAGAGAGAGAGGTAGAAGAGGTAGAAAACACGTAGAAAATTACATATTGTTGATTACAGTATATATATACGATTATATAGCAGATTGGTGATGGTAGTAGATAGTAGCACTAGATAGCAGTAGACAGTAGGCAGACGTCCTCGATATTCACACGAGTATCAATATTTATGTACGGCATCCAACGTACCACTCGATTTTCTGTTCATCTCTGATTCTGATTCTCTCTATCCAGTAGTCCAGTAGTTTGGGGCTTGCACTCGCTTTGTCTCAGTGCGTTTTCTCATAGATCAGTTTGCCAAATTCTTATATAGAAAAGTTTCTTCATCATCTCTCAATCATAGTTTCAAACGGTTTTGGGTTTGGGGTTTGGTTTTGGTTTTTGGGTTTGGTTCTTCATCTGGTTTCTGGTTTCGGTTTCTGGTTCTGTTGGATGGTGTTGCTGTGGTTTCTTGTGGTTCTTTGATGTGGTGCTCGTGTCTGTGGCCTTAGAGCAGCCTGCTCTTCTTGCCATCTCGCGGTTTGCCAATCATTGTTGTATATTCATCTATTTACATAAGATTTGTAGGGGGGTTTTGGATTGGATTGTTTATCAAAAACAAAAAAACAGTAAGTATATTAAATTATACAAAAATATTTGATCAGAGTTTTCAAAAGTAAAATTAAGAGTGGAAATACACACAATAGAGGGTCTTGGGTATCATAAAACATTGTAGAAACTGTATTTATATATATAGATTTATTTGTGTCATATATGTAGTTATGATATAGGGGATTAATGGATCAGGAAGATATAGGGACCTTATAGAGAGTAGTCCAGACACTTCCCATATATATCATCCTGATCCAAATCCTCTATTATCTAACATCTTATAAATGTTTTTGTGTTTTTTTTATAAATATGTTGGGATGTCTTTAGGATCAAAACAAAACCCTAAATGGAGAAATTCTGAAGTGGAAATGACTTGAATTTACACAAAATGCCTTCAAGGGTAAACTGAAAGTTTGGGATATGAGAATGAAATGCTTCTTTGAGTTTATGGTTGGAGCTTGAGAGATTCGTGGATGATATGAAGTGGTATCGGTGGAAACCCCAAGCTCTAGAGATAATAGTTTTCGAAGAAGAAGATTATCGGAATATATTTAAATCGGGAAACTTTATACCACTGTATGGAAATAGGAATAAATCCTTTTACTACCTCAATCCAAGAAAGTATTATCCTAATAAATTATAGCATCTTTTGCAGAGGCTTTCGTATGAAAGAGAATCTTTTAAGCTAAGATTTCCATACAACTCAAGAACCTCCAATCATCATCCACGAATAAATGAAACCTCGAGATGAGTGTTGCGTTAAATAAAAGCAAAGCTCGAACGAATGAATGAATGAATCAACTTGTGGAATGGGTTGGGGGGGAGTATAAAAACAAGCCGATTTTCATATGGTAATTACATAGAGTACATATATACACGTACACGACGGAATGGTAAAGTTTTATATATATGGGAAACATTATAGCAACGCCAGAAGCGCAGGGGGAAGCGCACCCAAGGTCATGGAGTCTCAAAGTCTCCTTCAAGACTGAGATACTTGTCTGCTCACTGGTTTATATGGATTGATTATTCGGGGGATTGTGATTCTTTGAGAGGTAATCCATGGACTAACTCAGAGTGCAGCTGTGCAAGAGCCTTTTGGGGCAGATGTTAAGAACTGGTTACTCTTTAATGGTAAGTAGTTTTGGTAGTTTGTTTGGCGGTGTCTTTGAAGCGCGGCTCAGATTTGTTAGGTGTTTTTGAGATATGCTTGCTTGTGGGGGAGACGGGGGTTTCGGGGTTGTGGCTGTGGTTGTTTGGGGGTGTGGTGGTGGTGCTGCCGTGGCAAGGACAAACGAGGACGACTCACCTGATTTGGGACTGACCAGATCCTTGGTTTTATTGTTCATGCGACGCGGTCCAGTGCCGCCAGAGCCCATGGGTCCCGAATGTGGCCCCGAGCCCGGTGTGCCACAACCACTGACACCGCCAGGGGCCCCTGCAAACAGATCGAAAAGGTATGGTAGGGCTAGACATTACGATTATGTATGTATCTCACCTGGTATTCGCGCTTGTCGCGGCTGTTCGACGGGAAGCACTCGTCTACGCTTCTTTGGCAGTTTCGCGCGCGCCTGCGTGTGCGAATAGTACATCGCAAAGTTGCTAACTATAACGGGCACTGGCAGTGCAATGGTTAGTACACCGGCCAGGGCGCACAGGGCGCCCACGAACATGCCGATGTATGTTTTTGGCGCCATATCGCCATACCCCACGGTGGTCATTGTCACCAAAGCCCACCACAGGCCAAGCGGTATGCTGTTGAAGTCGTTGTGCGGATTCGGTTGTATGCGCTCGGCATAGTACACCAAGCTGGCGAAGATCACAATACCAAGGACGAGGAAAAACACCAGCAGGGTCAGCTCCTTCGCCGAGGCACGGAACGTTTGGATGAGGATCTTCAGGCCGGACGAGTGACGCGTTAGCTTGAACAGACGCATGATGCGTATGATCGAGAAGAACTCCAGTATGTCAGCGTTCTCCAAATGCGATGCGAATCGCTGAAGCACAAGATCGATATAAAAACTAAGCGTTGCTATATAGTCTATGATGTTAACAGATGACTTGATGAATTCACATTTGTTCGGCGATGAGATAAAGCGTACCTAAGCGATAAAAAGGACACGATTAGTATATATTTTGTTGACTAATCAAGATCAAGGATTATAGAACACATAAATGATGGCTGAGAGTTCAATGATCAATAGAGAGTCATTTATGTGTTCTATAAGCTTTTCATAATAGTCTTACCAATATCTCAAATGTAAACCAGGCATTGCAAACGCATTCAATATAAAAAAAGGCTATATGCGCATTGGTTTGTGGCTTGTCCAGGACCCAGGCCGTGCTACCGTTCGCCGTTCGAACGGTCACCTTTTGCACTATTGGTACCCTCATATCGGGATGGGTTTTCAGGCAGAATGACAATATCGAAATGCATATAAAAAATACCGAAACAACGCCAATGGTCTGCAAGAATAAATTCGGAGCACACATTAAGGCACCCTTATAGCATTCCAAATATAAAGACAGGCATACCTTGGCGGCATTGGAACTGTAGGGCTCATCGAACAAGGACCAAATGCGCGGCTTCATTTCCTGCCACCAGGATAGGGTGCCTTTGTAGTAGTCCTCTTCGAAGCCAAATTTGCGTGCCAATTCCTCTTCGGACGGTTTTTCCGTATCCAGATCCAGACGATCCAATACGGCTAGGGTTTCCTGTGTGTCGCGATGCTATAGGAAGGATATTGAATGGATTGTAAGTACATCAGGAAAGCAATCCTTGAAGAGCACTCACCTGTGTATAGGTCATCCAACAGCAGGGCTCTACCTGATTCGAGTCTAGACCCCAGAATTCCAATTCCTCCTCAAACAGCGGTCCGCACACATCTGTGGGATAATGCAGTTTGCCAGTTCTAAAAGAGAGGGAGACAGAGATTATCCTTGAGAGACATTCAGGGGCTAAGAGGTGTTCGATTGATTACCTGTAATAGTTGAGCACTTGTGCGAATACGCCCGGATGCCGATCAAAGAAGTACTCATTCAGTATCGGATCATAGTTGGCCAGGGCTTCCGTGAGACGCGACAGTCGCGTCGCTGGAATCTTTTTCAATGTGGCCTTGTATGTCTCGTGCCGTATCCCACCGACATTCAGCACCACCCGATTCTCCGAGTCCATGTTGATCAGATTCATGGCTGCTTGCGTATAGTGCATTTTTTTTGGTATGTAAGTCATGATTCAATGATTTCTTTGCAATATATATTGTGTATATAGAGGGTGTATAGTGTAGAGGGTTTTCTTGGTGTTGCGTTGAATGGTATGTATAGGGTATTGTTGTGGCTGCTTTTGTGGGTGTTCGGTGAAGGTTTTGTGCCGCGTTTTGTGGTTTCAAACCTGAATATTTCCCTCGGTCCTCGTTCCCCACGATTCAGTTGCAGTTCCTTCCTCACACCCACCACTCGATGGTCCTCCCACTGGAAACCAAGGCTCAGTCACTCGATCTCCCGCTCTCGATCTACCTCATGTGCACTTGAAAACGTATCAACTAGATGTTAGGAGACCCACAGCATGGCAGACAATGCGACGCTTCAGGCGTTGAAGTACTCACTAGGTTGGGTTTCGGTAGGACGACATGGCGCTGGGAGAAAAGGAGGGAAAATGTTACAGTATTCATGAGTGTTTTCTGTATTCATTTGGGGATTAAATATGTAGTTCATGGCAAGTCATTCAATGCTCTTGATGGATTATATTCAAAGTGTTTTGACGAGTGAAAGAACACACAGCAAACACATTCCCATCTTATTTTTATTTATTGATTTATTCGTAAAAACTTTCCATGAATATAATATTTGTGTTGCAATCATTTTTCCATACTTTTATTTATATTATTTTGCTTTAAAGAGGCATAAATATTTCCAATTCAATCATTCCAACCAACCGTTTCTAAGCAATCCAATAAATATTGAATAAAAATTCCCGATTCCCCCAAAATACAAAAAAAAGAGAGCATATTTCACCCATCAATTATCACTTGCCCTCGCAGCCAAATGTTAGGCACACAAATCATGGATGCTAAATCAATATTTGGTATATACAAATCATTAAGACATTCATATTTTATATCTCTTCAGGTGAGTGCCCAACTTTCACACTCAACATTCAATTTATGGCTGGAATCCAAACATTGTTTATGATATCCAAGATTGAATATCGAAAGTGATCCATTTATAGGAAGTTATAAATGAAAGGTAAGCCCTCTAATTCCTAAAATTGTAAGCATTGATTGATGACTTACACCCTGTGTGTTTCGAGTAGTTTCTACGACTAAAATATGAATTAATTGTGTGTGAATTAAATCCGACAGTGCTGATAGGTGTTTCCCCTTTCCATATTTTACCAATGATTCACTTGACTTTCGATTGTTTTTAGAAGATCATTTAGGATCAACAAATCGAGAAAATAAGTATTGATGGGGTATTATCTTAATGAATCGCGCGTTGGAGATTTGTTAGAATCCTACACAATATCATCCGATATTTATACGCTGCATTAATATCGAAGTCGAATGCGGAATGGATCCGGGGGAAGTTCCCTGGACTCATCATTCTACGAATCAATAGCATTGATAGATGCTTCCTATCATTCACTTGATGATCCAATGGAATATTCGAGTATACACTTAGTTTTCGAGTATTTCTAAGGTTAACGAAATAAGCAGTGATCATAATTATATATAACTTTTTATTCCCCGAATAAACAGCAGCATTGATGTTTGATGTTTCCCTGCACATCCTCCCGATCCGATGATTCAGTGTGTGTGGGAAATACTCATTCTACGCCGCATAAATATTTAAAATCAACAAATCGAGCTCCAGAACAACTGCAATTTATATGTACAAATACATACATTCGTATGTCGAAAATGGGGCTATAATATTCGCTTCGATTCAATTGAAATGACCCATTAGCAGCTCGTGAAGCGCATCCCACAAATGTTTCCGATCCCTGTTTCTAGATCGGACTAAATATAGAACCAGTCAACGATAGCGTCATCAGTTTTTTGGATTTGGATTTAAGTATTCTTCGGAGAGTGGTACCCAAACAAAAAAACAAAAAAATAGTATAATACAACGAACAAAAATAAAGCCTGAAATCGCCTTCGTGATTTGCAGAAAAAGCAAATATTTGTTCTTAAACAATATTTAGTTTTGGCGCTGCATTGTTTACACCACTCACACGGTGCCACCAATACACACTCATCGCGAAACGCCTACAAGTGAGCAACAGAGTGTCGAGTCCGTGTCCGTGTGAGTATCTGTGTGTGGTGCCCCTGTCTATGTCTGTCCGAATGTCTGAATGTCTGCCTGTCCCTGTCTGTCTGTCTGTCTGTTTGGGGGCGCTGCTGCTGTGTTTTACAGCCCGCCTGCCTTTCGTTTGTCCATTTCGATGTTTACTTGCAACTGCCGGCTGCTGCCCCGAAACTCAACTCTCGAGATTCGACCGAGAATCAACGCCATGAAAACCACAATCCAAAAAGAAATCATCATCATGGAGGCTTTATAAACAAAACAAACACACGCTGAGGGCAAGACTTTTCCATCCGTGAGGGTCTGGGGTCCGGTCTCTGCCTTAAATGCTAAATACTCATACTGCAAAACACTCGATTCATATTCATAAAACTCATTTCGATCGGTATACCCCCCATATGATATATGGTTTGTCTGTGCTTATTTTTGGCCACAGGCCCTCATTATTTATTCACTTTTAATGAGCATAGAGAACTTCAAAGCTCCTAGAATATCGTAGTATATCGTAGTAAATTGCCTCCGGAGGCAAGAAGTACGCGTACGAAGTATTTAAAATGAGGTGTTCTTTTTTTTATACCAAAATTTCCTTTTCCCAAACATCCTGTGTGTGGCACGCAAGTAAAGTAGTTAGAAGGTGGCACCAAGGGGGGATTGGGCTTAACTGCTCCGCTTTTGGATCGTTCATTTTTGTTTTTTTTTTTTTTTTTTTGGTGCGGTGGGAGCTTGTAATGGGGTCTGGGAGTGGGCGAATGGGCAAATGGGGGTGGCACGGAGTCCACAGTAGGTCAGGAGAGTGTTTTGTAAGTGGCGTGTACTGTAACACTGCTGCTGCTGCTCCTCTGTTTTGTTGTGGCATGAAGTCTCCGTTAACTTTGGCGTGTACATGACGTATACACACACACAGAGAACACTCACACACATACAGGCACTCAAAAACACACACAGTTACTCCATGCAAAACGCCTTTACACGTGTGTGTCGCCGAGGCAAAGGCAGGCAGGCGCACGCATCGATTTTTCCGTTTTTCGGTGTATCACAAACTTCCTTATTGTTTTCCAGCATTGACTTTAAAATTGACAGAGGCAGAGACAGTGTCATTTTCCCCCATTCCCTCCTCTGATATACATACACACACACAAAAACACACACAAGGATAGAGGCCATAGCTGTACCGTTAGACCATACAACGAGCGAACGAGCGACCTACCGATTGACAATCATCCATCAAAACCAAACCCCCATCATCATCCCGCGCCATCTCTCACCTATTCGCTGGGGCCTGGACCTCCTCGATGCGCTCTGCCGCAAAACATAACTCCGCTCTGCTGGTATATCCTCTAATATATATCTTCGTTCCGAAACCAAGTCAGGACTTTGTTCGAAAAATGGGAACAACAACTAAAAATTAGGTGAGAGAATTACACTACTACACTACACTATACACACGCTCCCCGCCCGTGTCGGACTCCTACTTCTTCGGGTACAGGGGCTTTCTATTGGGGACTCGACTCGGTTCTCACTACCGTTTCCGACACACCACTCTGTTTCTCTATTGCCGATGCCGATGCCGATGCCGATCACTGCGCGCGCGTCCCGAGCCGTGCCGTTCGATGCGATTTTACAAACTGAAAAGGAAACCGAAACAACACACTGATGGAATTTTCACGCTCTGTACCACAGTACCACAGTACACGGGTGCGCGGTACACGGTACACCATACACGGTACGAGTGCTCTGGCGCTGGAGGGATGTTGATGTTGTGCTTCTTTACGTACATTCCGCTCTGGAGGCAAACCGAAGTAAATCGGAGGCATGCGCACTGGTCCCTCTTTTCGGGTTTCCTTTTGCCCTGTCATTTTGCTCGAATGTGGCGCCAAAGTGCAACACTGCGTATGCGTCATGTAATAAACGAAGCGTTTTTGAATATATGAAATTATTTTAAAATTTATCTTTAATTTATTTCACTTGTAATATCTTTCTTATATTCAGATACGAATTTTGTACGTATCATTTTCACTTGGGACTACGAAGCTCTTGGAATATGTAAATTCGAATCAATCTATATCTTTTATGGTTTTTTACATTTTTTTTTATAGAAAAATATAGCTTTAGATATTCTCGATTCCCAATGTTTCCCCTCATAATCATAAAATGTTTGGATAGTTATACAAAATTTGTACTTATACAAATTTTACTTTTAATTTTAATTTTCTTAACATCTTTTCGAATTGCGACGGGAAAAAACATCTAATATTGTTATCTGTACGATCGTTGAGGAAGAATTAAACTAAATCTCTCGGACTATCATTGGCCATTTGTAGAATTTAAGTAAAAATCGTGTAAAATTGTCAATTGGGAAGCGTTTTCCTCCCATTTAGATATTACTTCGTTATATGAAAGAATATTTCTGATCCGAATCAAAACCGTGAATCGTTTAATTTTGTGAAATTTTGAGTGAAATGCTTCTCAACTTTATTGCAATCATTTATCGGAGTAAAAAAATACAACAAATTAAATTTGAAACCAAAAAAGAATCGAAAAATATTCGAATTTCATTGAAATAACTAAAAAGAAAATAAACCAAAATTATGGGGAAAAAACTATGAACTTTACTTGTAAGCAACAGCCAAATATGCACCACAAATCCAATGAAAACACCTTCAACTTTATATTGAAATATGTAAAATATATTTAAGAGTTTCTTTTCTGTGGGAACGTAAAAACTGAAGTACAGAGAGCGCGGCTTAGACAATGGCAAACAAATAAACCAAATTATTAGTAGAATGACCGATTGAAATATTTGGTTAGGCAGCCTTCAAATTCAACTATTTATATATAAAAAACAAATGCAATTGGCTAAATGAAACGATACTTGGATGCTTGCGATTTCAAGAGATGCTAGAGAGCGGACAGAGCAGAAGCTGGAGCTCCAACGAAAGTGTGGAGGGCTCACAGGCATAGATATATCTATATAGATGAGTATAAAATAATGGTGTTGAGAGCTCTCCCCTCCCCACTAGGCCTGCTGTTCCTCGCTGCCATTGGCGGAGGTGTGCCACACGTGCCCCATTTCCAGGGCTTGCAGTTTGAGCATTTCCTTTTGGCTGTCCTTGGCCTGGAGGTGAAACACACTTTGCTGCAAGGCGAAGAAGAGCCATTAGTGATTAGGGCTTGGGTGTAACAGGCAGTGCATAGAGAAGGCAGAGACTCACCTTCACCTCCTTGGTGGTGAGGACATCCATTTTGTCATAGATGATGGCATGCAGGCCCAGTCCCTTAAGCAGCTTGATGGTATCCTGGGAGTTATTGTCATCGCCCCAGCAAAAGAGCACCAGGCCGCGCTCCTTGGCGAGATTCACCTAAAAGTCCGCAGGTGAATGATTTCGAAACATGTCTGTGTGTCCCAGTCTCCCAGCATTTCTGTTCCAGAGAGTGGTGTCATTTTATTACCTGACTGGGATCACGCAGCAAGTCCTCCGTATGGGCGACAATCCCGAGCAGCTGCATGGCCACCGCATGCCAGACGGCCAGCTCCATGGAGTTACCGCGCGGATCCATATACTGTTCGTACTTGGTGGTCCTGCCGAGAGTCAAAAACATTACTGGGTACCGATTCTGTTTGAAGCGCAGCATCGTGCAGATATCGGGATCAAAGCAGCTGAGGACAATCCGGCGACTGCCGGCCTTGCGCAGGACAACATCCAAAATGCAATCGATATAGAGATTCCTGTCAACCACATGCTCAAACTCCTCCTCCATGCGTCCGTCCTGCAGGCGTTGCGACCACTTGATCTCAATGTTAAAGCCCACATGGATATCGAGGGCGTCTAGCACATCGGAGAGCTGTGGGAAGGGCTGGTGCTCGAGATTGTCGTCGTTGTGAAAGGAGCGCGTCTCCCGCGACAAGCCCTCGGCGGTGTGGTACACCTTGAGCTTCTTCAGCTGCTCGAGTGTCAGCTCCCGCATGGGCAGGGACAGGAAGTCGTGCTCCTGCATGCTACACTTGGACTTGAGCGAGACATAAATCATGAAATCATGATAGACAACTGGCACCAGATCCTTGCTGAGCTGTACATCGAACTCGACCATATCAGCCCCGTGCTCGGCGGCGTTCTTCAGTGAGGTAATTGTGTTCTCTCGGATCACAGCGTCCTTGGCCTTGAAGCTGGTGCCAGAGCCGCGATGGCCCACATCCAGGCCCGTCCACTTGTTGTTCCAGTAGCGGGCATAGCTGACGCTCATGTCCATGTGGGCGCTCAGCGCCGAGGGACGCACGATAAGGTAGCCCAGCCGCATCATGCCCAGCGGTCGGTGGCCCTTGGCACAAGTGATGGGTATCTCCAGGTTGCCCTCAGAGCGCTTGAACAGATTGGGCAGCACATAGTGGTAGCCCAAGTGGTGCGGCGGACCATCCTCCTTGGCCACCCGCGAGCTGTACGTGTACAGATCGATCAGATAGGCCGTGTTCTCAAGATCTCCCACGGTTATGTGGAAGATGACCAGGTCGCTGGGTCCACAGGCAGTGCCGAACTGCTCCTGGGCACGAATCTCGCACTCATCGGCACTCAACGTGACCACCTCGCTGAACGCAAAGGCCGTGGACGAGTCCCCGCCATTCTCCCTGGTGTCGTGCGTGTCGTTGGAGAGGGAATCTTCCGGCGGCGACATCGGACCCGCGACACTCGACGTCTCGAATCCAGCACTGGGTATACGTAAATTCATGGGCGTCACCTTCACCTGGACATGGCGTCGCTTCATGCGTTGCTTGAAGGTGAACGGTGCGTAGAAGAACTTGAGCTGAACGATTGATTCCCTGGTGAGCCAGCCCCGGTCTACCTTCTCCTGGCCGTTGACGGAGCCGAAGATATCCATCTGCTCCTCCGGCGGCTGCTCATCCAGCTCTTCAATGGCTCTGGCCTGCAATGGGTTCATTCATTGTAGTAGGCATTCCACGAAAACAGATCAACAGATTCCCACCTGAAACTGTGTTTCCCAGCGCCTCACCAGCGGCTGCTCGCTGCTGGGTTCCACGGCACACACCATGTATCGGTATTCCGTGGCACAGTGACGCGGTATGTACACCTCCACGCTCCACACATTCTCCTCCTGCGTCATACGTGCCGCATCCGACGGCTGCCAGTTGCCCAGTGCCTCACAGTTGCCCACAACGGCCAGATGCTCGCTGGCCCCGAGATCCTCGTGCATCAGGACCCGGAAGGTCCACAGCCGATTTGTGGTTATGTCGCCAAAGATCCGACGACTCCCATGCTCCGTTCCTGCTCCCGCTCCCGTTCCCGGGGGGCACGTCGAGGGCGCGGCCATGGCATCGTCCTCGCCGTCATGTGATGCCAGCCAATTGTGCATTCTAATGGCTTGCTATTTACTGTTTGCTGTCGAATGACCTTATCAGTGAATGACGTAAAATGTATTGTGCTTTACTTGGGACCTCCACTCACCCTTTGCCCCACAAATTCACGAAATGCTCTAAGGTCTTTTTAGGGTTTCCTCCTGCACTCTCAAATCTTTTTCCTTTTCGCTTAGTTGGGTGTGCGGCGCGTGCGGCGCTGTGTGTGTGTGTGTGTGTGCGAAACTGCATCAAAAGAAATATGATAATGTGTATAATGTGGCAGAATTTACCGATGTTTGCGTTTTACTCACGAACAGCTGTTCTGCTCCTCCAGCTAGGCAGTCATCATGGTATTATATACTCTTGGTCGAGGGTGGAACTGATGATACTGATGGTTTGCTGATGATGGATATGCGTGGCACACAAATTATGACAATCGGATTATAACGAAATTATTTGCGCGATTTTAGCGCTGTCGCGAATGCGACCAGTTAATAGACTATAAACTGTGAATTGCATTATTTTTGCAACGATTAAATTGGGGTCGCTTGATTGTGTGTGTGTGGGTGAGGGCGATAAAGGGAGAGAAAAGAGCAGTGTGACCGTTGCTGCGACAACATGAGCTATCGAGGAATCTAAAAAGTAAAAATGTGTGTATTAACCCATTAGTGGCCACTAGTAAACGGGTCTTAAACGGGTACTTAAACACCCATTGGCCCTTAAGGGGTTAATGTGTGGGAGGGCAAATCACGCGACACCAAATTCCATTCCACAATGTTGTATCAAAGACTATAAAATATTGTATACTACTACTGTATTGTACTATTGTATAGTCTTTGGTTGTATGCCAATCCTCGAGATGCTACATCTACATATATACATTTATGCCTCACCTTTTTTCAATACACCTTGACAGCGGCGGTGATAGGTAACTCTTGTCCAGCCCTGGGGCGTGCAACAGCTGTTCACTTATTTTGTTTTGGCGGGAATCTCTTGTTTTGGAATTTTTGCGAAATAATTTTGCGATTTGTGCCAAAGAATGAATCAGTATCCCGATGAAGACGAGGAGTTTGAGCTGCAGTACCAGGATGAGTTGGAGTTGCTGGAGGATGTGCCGCACGAGTACGATGCGTACGACGGGCCGAGCACGTCCCGGCAAGCGGCGGCCAAGCAAACGAAAGCAGTCAAAGATGTCTCGCGCTTTGAAAACTCCACCCTTTGCTCTCCGCAGCTGTCGCAGATTACCTTTGGGGCCACTCAAATAGAGAACGATGATGGAGGCGGAGGTGCGGGGGGTGGACCAGTGAATAGGCGACTCTTTGGCACGCCGAAAGGGCCGCCGATGGGACGCGGCTGCTCCACGCCATTTCAACGCATGCCGGCCATACAGGAAATGGATGCAACTCTGCCGACCAGCAACGGATTCAAAGAAACGGAGGCAGTGCCTCTGCTCAATGCGGCCGCCCAGCAGTTGCAGGAGCTGGGCACGCGTGGCGTGAACAAGCGGCGTCTGGAGCGGGATCTCTTTGGCGACATTGATGATCTCTTCCATGAAACCTACGAAGATCCGCTGGTGAAAAAGGCACGTACCGAGGAGCAGCGTGACAACGAGGCCATTCAGAGGATCGTGGAGCTGCGCCGCAAGAAGCAGGAGTCGACCAAGACCATCCGCAAGGATGATGTCAGTCGTCTGAAGGCCTTGCTCGATTTCCAAAGAAAGAATCTTTCGTACGAGATACCCAACTGGCCGTTTCTGCCCATACAACGCAGCGATCTAGAGCGCATCTACGTGCGTTTCCACTCGGAAGAGTACGAGAAGCGGCAGCTGGACTTGATCAGCGCTCGGGGCGCAGTTGTGGGCAGTCTGCTGGGCGACGCCAAAGAAAAAGTCTGGCAGGAGGCCAACGAGCTGGTGAGTTGGATGATTCCATTGGGAGATCAATGATATAACCAGTCCCTTCCTTAGGTTCTTCGTCGACTGGCTCCTGACACACAGCCAGCGATAGCTGCTCCTTCGACTGCAGTCCCGGAAACGGGACGCCTCTGGGTGGACAAGTACAAGCCAAGGAAATACATTGACTTGCTCTCGGATGAAATGACCAATAGGAGTCTCCTCTACTGGCTGAAGATGTGGGACAAGGTTGTCTTCGGGAAACCCTTTCACAGCAAACAGGAACAGGAGGCAGTCACAGGCGGAGGACCAACAGGTGGTGGTGGTGGAGGCGGGGCCAATACCCAGCTAAATAGCTTCAACAAGCGCACGGGAAAATTCGAATCCAATGGCGGCTGGCGGCAGCGCAAGGCTCGTCAGGCGCTCAACACGAATGTGGATGCCATGGGACGACCCATGCAAAAGGTGGCCTTGCTCTGTGGTCCCCCCGGTCTGGGCAAGACCACGCTGGCCCACACCATTGCCCGGCATGCCGGCTACAATGTGCGGGAGATCAACGCCTCCGACGATCGCAGTCCAGAGGCTTTCAAACTGGCCCTGGAGAACGGCACACAAATGTCCTCAGTTCTCAATGCAGACAAGCGACCCAATTGCATAGTTCTGGGTGAGTACGAACCTTATTGTGCCTTCAATGTTTACTTTACATAACATTTCCCCTTTGCCTTCAGATGAAATCGATGGTGCTCCGCGTCAATCCATTGAATATCTGGTCAAATTCGTCAACGATGATGTCCACAGCAAGGCGAAAGCCAAGGGGGCCAAATCGGAGCACAATGTCCTGCGACGACCCATTATCTGCATATGCAATGATATTTACGATCCAGCCCTGCGACCACTCCGCCAGATAGCCTTTGTGGTCACCTTCCCGCCCATTGATGCAGCCCGTCTCGCCGAGCGGTAAGAAGCTTATTAGCTTATTCTTCGATCGATGATGGTGATGATCTCTTTACAGGTTGGGCAAGATTGCCCAGAAAGAGCAGCTAAAAACCGACTTCGGATCACTGATTACGCTCGCTGAAAAGTCGGGCAATGATGTCCGCAGCTGCATCTCCTCCATGCAGTTCTTCAAGTAGGCCACCCGAACATTATTTTCAGTCCCATTTTATCTAAATCAATACCCATTTTAGTGCCCAAAAGCAGAGTCTGACGCTACAGGATGTGCTGAACAACAACCTGGGACAGAAGGATCGGCATCAGGGTCTTTTCACTGTGTGGGACTCCATTTTCAGAGTAATTTTTTTCATTTCAATGCCTTTCAGCGTGATTTTACATAGAATATTTTCAGATACAACGTCCCAAGAAACAACTGCAGACGGACACTAATGGCACTGGCGATGAGCCCGCTTTGGTTACAATGACCAACATGTCCGTGGCCACGCGAGTGCGCAATGTTATGGATGTGGTCCATTCCAGTGGGGATTACGAAAGGTTCGATTAACGTCTCTTCTCTCTGTCTCTATAAAAGTGTCATCACATTCCCATTCCATTCTGGTAGACTCACTCAAGGCGTGTACGAGAACTATCTGCAGCAAAAGATGCCCGATCCAAATTTTACGGGCGTTTGTGAGGCCTTGAATTGGTTCTGCTTTACGGACATACTGCAGCAGCAGATCGGCAGGCAGCAGAACTACAGTATCTATCCATATTTGCCGTACGGCTTTGTCGTCTGGCATTTACTCTTTGCCACACTGGCCTGGCCGAAAATTTCATTTCCCACGCGTGGCTTTGAGGTAAGATGATGCAAAAAGATGATGACTGCATGGCCCCGAGCCACATTATTTCTTTTCATCGCTGAATGCAAGACGAGTGACGAGCAGGCTCTCCTTTGAGGCAGGCTCATGTATTATGCAGGCATCATTAGCTGGGGCAAACATCCCCAGCAAGGACCATTGGAAAGTGCATAATCAACACAATCAAGCCATGTAATTTCTTGTCCATTATGTGCCTCAAATGCAATCACAAGATTAATGAGAGTTCTGCATAGATTTCGCACTGTGTACACAAAGCCAAAGCCACCACAAAATCCACATTTCCTTCTTTGCAGTTCACACAGAAGAGCACCACACAGCGCAACATCTTTCAGGCCTTGCGCAAAGGTGTCACCCCCTCCGCTGTGGGTGTGGGTCATGGCAGGATTCTGCTGCTGGATACCGTGCCCATGCTGAAGAGGATTTTGTCGCCGCAATTGCGCTCGGTGACGGTGAAGCTGCTGTCCCCCAAGTGAGTGTCTATCTCCTTTGTTGGATCCATCTTTTAGATCTTTTTCTTAACGCTATTATTTCTTTCAGGGAACTGCAAGACTTGAATCACACCATTGAGGTTATGCTGGATCTCGGCGTGACATTTGTTCAGGTCAAGTCCCTGGAAGGACATTATGTGTTTCAACCAGAGCCCGATCTCGATGCACTCATCGCATTTCCAGGTTAATAATGAACACAACATCAAGAAATTTCTCTTCTTAATTATTCGGCTGTGTTTTTGATAGGATTTCCTGGCCTCACTGTATCCTACTTCGGTCGCCAGCTACTAGCCCGCGAAGTGGCCCTGGCACGCATCCGTCGAGCGGCACCCAAAGAAGGAGAGCCATCGGCAGTAGCAGCAGCGTCTGCAAAGAAGCAGGCAGCTAAGACCGCAGCCACTTCGCATCTGCCCAATCATTTGCAAACATTGAAACCGAAACCAATTTCCGCTTCAAATGTGCGCAGCAGTGCCCCCAAACAGCAGGTGGGTCCAAGGATTCGGATGCACCATCAAGATTTGCATGTCTTGCATTTACTTAGCAGCAATTTACTTGCAAATTTTCCACGCTAACAAAGAGACTACCATTCGCATATATTTCCCAAGGAGGGTTCACCTTTATGCCCCTTTTAAGGCTTCCTTTTCTCACATTTTCCTCTTTGGGCAAATCCCAGCAAAGCTAATAACCCATAAGGGGATTCCACCGGCATTGTCATCGGGGTCGTAATGTGGGATCACGACAAACCAACATTTATTGCCCATCTTAAACGAAAGCGACTTTGTGGGGTATTTTATGCTGCGAATGCTTCTTGGCTTTCGTTCTAATGCCATACAGTTTATATTTTAGCTTGTTTTTATTCAATTTTCATATGATATAAAGTTTATTTGTGCTACCCAAATATTCCTAATATTTATAATTTTAATTTTTTTTCAGCTCACTAAAGACTTTTTCGGTCGCATTACCCACAAAACATCCACAGCTAAACAAATAGATGAAGGTAAGTCATTTTCCCGTGTGGTTTCGCATATATATTTTTTTTAAATTGATCATTTTGTGTATTAGCCAAAACCGATGCCATTGTGAAGAGCCCAATTTGGTATCGCTATAAGGAGGGCTTCAACAACGCTGTACGCAAAGACGTTCATCTGCATGAGCTGCTTTAGAATATCCCTCTTGGAATTTACAAATCCCTGCCTTAAAATTATTTATTAAAACTTTAAAAATATTGAAAATGAAAGCACGTGTCACGGAAGGAATGGCTGAAGACAGTACAACAGATTTATGAGAAAACTAAATATAGTTAAGAACGATAGATAGCCACGATACCCTTAAAAATTCAACACCATTTTCCATTCATTCCAACAATTCGGATCTTCATGGTATATCAGAGTGTACGATTATATGTATTTTATACGGGTATTTCCAGTATACTTTTAAACTGGATCTGTGGATCTTATTGTGTCTAGATCTCCGTTGTTAAAGCTTGCACATATCTGAGCTTCGATTAACCGAAGCGCTATTTTCTTATCTTATTATCATATCTTATATACGTCTAAGCTCGCGTGTGATATATATATTTGATATCGTATATCCCATAGATGTATGGGAGTGATCAAAGAGCGCTTGTTGTTGGGCAAGGGACATACATATTGTATATTAATATTAATCTCTCGCTGGAATGGATACTGATCGCTACAAAAACCTTGTCTGCAGAAGTAATTCTAAAGACAAACCGAGGGACAAACAGCAGTTGTATTGCTACATATGTAGCCTGTGGATGTTGATTAAGCTAATATTTAATTCGTTTCTAGACCACTCTCTGTTCACTTGTTCCCACTCACTCTGTTCCCCATCTTCCTGGGATCGTAATCCGGCAGCTGATATACTCGTATTGTGAATATCTTTCAACTTTTCATCCCATATTTGCCAATGAGGATGAATGTTTTGCTTTAGTAAGCAATACTTATGGCATTTGTGCTGGGCCCTCGTATAGGGCGGCATTTTCTTATCGCTGGGAGCTCGCGACGGGTTGAATCAGCCGACGAGGCATCGCGACTCGACGCACTCACTCACTCAGTTGCCCGCGCGTTGTCCAGATGTCTCGAAGTATGCCTGCGTTCGTTAGGCTATCGCTGGTGCTGGGGCTGGTGCTGCTGTCGCTGGGGAGCCTACAGCCCATAGAGGCACGTTTCTTGCCCCCAGGCCTGCCCGTGATACCGAGTGAGTAGTGGGAGGAAGAGGGTCGGTCCATTTCCGACCCACATTTCTTATGAGCTTCTGTTGTGCTTCGTCAGATATTTGTAAGCAGCCACCGCCGCGGTCTCTGGGTATTTGCACCATCCAGATCGAGGGCTTCTACTACGATCCCGCCACCTTGGACTGCCAGATGTACTCGATTGGGGCATGCCACTCGACGCCGGGCCAGAGCTTCGGCGATATCCAGGACTGCGTCGCCACCTGTGTCCATGGCGTTAGACGCAACAAGGATTTGTATGTGAACGAAGGTTGAGATGATTACGATTCGGAGAGAGTTTGTTGAATAAAAAAAATATCAGCATCGCGTCAGCGTCTGAACAGCTAACAAATTGCGTCTAATCCGTAATCTATAAATTCTGGGAATGTTCTGTTCTGCCCCCTCATGACCCGTGAGGTAATTGTATTTATTTTGTAGCACTATCGGATTTATTGGCTATGTAGCATGTGGCTTGACAGTTCGCACAAGTCGCTTGAACATTGAACAAGACTAGGATTATTATATTGTATGTACTCTATAAGCAAAGGAGTGCGTTCGGTTTGGGAGAAGATCTATAAAGACTACGAGTATTTATTTGAAAATAAATATGAACGATGTGTATCCAACAGCGATATTTAGTGAGGAATTACATTCCATACATTCCTTAAATTTTCTTGCTGGAAATCTGTAAACTCTTTCTTAAATTTGGACATTAGTGGACTGTTTTGTAGTTAGTTTTCATAATTTTCCGAATATATGTTTCATCTTTTTAAAGCACTAGATGGTTTTTGAAAAATATCTCTGTACAACTAAATAACTATTGGCTTTTCATATGGGATATCTGATGTGTTCTATGAGCTGTATAGTAAGGGTATCACCAATTCGATTTGTCTGTACTTTTTGGCCTATCAGTTGGTTGTATTTTTGTTTCGTTGGGAGCACCTCGATGATTATTTCGGCCTTCTGCAACAGGCACTCGCCAGTTTTAGCCGGAAAGTCAATCCTCGTTCCCGTCCTCATCGACGACATCATGAGCATCATTATTGATCACATGCAAAAAGCGCTGGACGCGGCGTAGTGTCATGTCGTTTTGGGCCTTATCAGTTATCGGTGGCAGCAGCAGCAGCAGCAGAAGCAGCAGCTGCGGCAGCGACGGCGGCAGAAGCGGCCTGATTACAAATATGTGTGCCTTCTGGTGGCTTTTGTTCGAGGTTTCGAGTCGAGTTCGCGACAATCCAAACGCCAGACGCTCCAGCTCCAGTCAGTGACCAAAACTGTGGTATAGAAATTGCGTTATTTCTTGTGTCTCTTGCGAAAAATTTCCAAAATTACCTCAGCCAAAGTCCAGAAAGGACCACTACAACTTAGAGAAGGGAAAATATTTCATATCTGCAAACAGAAATTGCAAAAAACCGAACGATAATCCCTTGGCTGTTGTCTGAATTTTCGACTTGGGTTCGTGGACTGTAGCTGAACTTTGCAGACCTTTTGGGTATAAAAAACCCATAAATTCCATTCAGAAATCAAGAAAACGAAATACGAAACATTGCCAGACGGACGTGTGTAGATCGGTCGATCATCGGCAATAGCTATATACTAGAGGTTGAAATCCCAATCGTTGTAGAATCGACAGACACTACGTTCGGTCTCTTATATATGGCGACGAGCGGCTGCTGCGCATTTGTACTCGCATTTGACTTAAAAAACAACAGAATTGGCAGTGTTTCCATTACCAGAGAGAGTAAAACTGTACCAGAGGCCACAGAGCTGTATCAACTGTGCCAGAGCTGACAGTGGAAAAGTATACAGTTAAACCAAAAGGAATATCAGATCTGATCAGCTTCTCCAGGAGGAGAGTTTAAAAAGGTTCAAAGAATCTGTACAATAGCTTGGATACTTCCAATCCGCGATTCAAAAGTATTCCCAAAATGAAAGCCAACAGCCAACTGAGGATAACCGTGTGGCTCTGTGTGATCCTGACAATGATCCAGGACCAAGCAATCGAGGCACGCTCCCGTAAGTGTTTTCTGAAAGCATATTCCCACAATGTTCCAACTAATTTTGTATAATTTTGTGATTAGGTGATCTCTGCACGGTGCAGCCCAGCACGAATGGACTCTGTGTGCCGAGCACTTTGGGAATCTACTTTGATGTGGAAACGCAGCATTGCCGATTTTTGGGCTGCGGCAATAAGCGGCTCTTCGCCAGCCTCGAGGACTGCGAGAAGATATGCAACAGCATAAAACATGTTAAGTGGCGCAGTCGATCTGGTGGCAATGAAACCACAAAATGAATATACGTTAAGGATTTTTTTGTTTGAAACAATTCTGTTTGCGTTGTTTTTAATACTCGTGTCTCGTGTCTAAATTCAAACATCACGGCAGCTAAACTCGCACTCGGCCTTGTTCGTAAAGCGATTGTCGTTGCCGCCACATCCGCCGTAGATGAAGGGCTCGCACTGTCGCTTCAGGGGATTGTAGGCATAGCTCTCCACATAGCCAAAGCACCTTCCACTGATCGTTGGCTGCAGGCACAATTTCACTGTACGATTATATAAATGAATTACAATTAGTCGGAAAAATTATATTGTTCAATGGTTCTTCTACCTCGCTTCGAGGCTGCATCTGTCTGTGGCAGTGGGATGATCACTTGCAGCAATAGCCAGTACCCCAGACCCACAAGGAGCCATCGAGCATCCATCATGTCACTCTCAGGCACTCATTCAGTCAACCGTCACGTTCTTTGGCCAGCAACTCACTGAGCATCAAACGGGGCTCAGGCTGTCTCACCGCCGATTTGTGTGTTTACAAATTCGTTCAAATGTTGTTATGCTTTGTTTTTTTGCCAGCATTCAACATTGACCAAGTTAATGGCAAAGTGTGGAGAGGTTAGGCAGTGGAAACAAAGGTGCTACCTACTCGGCTGGCACGATGCTTAGACTTTGCAGGTCTGAAGCCAATTAGTCTATATTTTCCTATAGCATTGTGAGAGCAAGGTAAAAAAATTCTCCGAAAGGCGAATGTTTGAGTTCGTAAAAGGTTCTTCATTCGATTGATTATAAAACTATATTATTCCATTATTGTTTGATTGAAAATGGACTTCAGTAAATTGAATTCTATCTTTTTCGTAAGATAATCTTATTTGGTAATTTAATTTATTCAAAAGGTAGCCCACGTTACGTGATTTTAAATCTATGTATATTTTTTATCGATATGTGATCAAGCAATAACAATCGCTCTCTGAAAGTACTGGGTACATCATATATTGAATGTGAATAAGATAGTCCTATTCCTTTTCTCTTATATTATATCTCTTCTATTTTTCACCTATACGATCTATAGAGATCAGCATCCTATATGCCTTCCCAAACGAACATACCCTACAATCGCTCTCATAATAAACACCGCTCGCACAGAGAGAGATGACGTAAAAAAGACTTGACGGCAAAAGGCAACAAAAACAAAAACATGTTCCGCATATCAATGGCAACAACAATTCGAATCTCTCAATACAAAATAACAAGTGTATCTGTATGGAATATATACATATATATGTACGTACTAAAGATTGACAATGTTGGTGGATTGCCAGCGAGAAACGAGATTTCAATTTCAGTTTCAATTTGAGTTTCGGTTTCAACGTTGAGGTTGAGCTTCAGAGAGGAATAAGAATTGACAGTGTTTTTTGCTCTCTCTGTCTCTATGTCTCTCTCTTTGGCTTGCTCTCCCTCTATTTCTTTCTCTCAGTGTACCTCTCTTTCACTCATTTTCACTGGATATCTCTGGGGTTTCCGCCCCACGGCTATGGTAATCGAGAGACTCTGGGGACTTTGTTTGGGCCGTCACTCGTTTAAGGTCTAGTTAATTGAATCAGGCAATAAATACCGATTTGGCACAGGGCATTTTCTCTAGTCCAAGTCCCTAATTTAGTAATTAAACGTAGTTCAGAGATAGAGGGAGAGAGAGACAATTAACATCTGGGCGCTCAGAACGGGCAACATTTCAATTATTTCAAGTAAATTAAACAGTTAACTGAATTGTCACCTCAGACAGACATTTTCACACACATGAGCGTCACATTTTGGCCACTCCATTCCCGTCCATTCCATCACTGGCCCCTCACTCTCACTGTCCTTGTGAGCTAATGAATAAATAGTACTCCCTCTACGGATAACACCTCATCAACATCATCATACTCGTACCATCAAGAAGGAGGGCCATGCCATGTCTCATCATTGAGCGATAATTGAATTTGCGCCATGTATTAACACCTGCTAACGTTTTGTGTTGACCATCTTCTCTTGGCCCTAATATGACTCTAATTATGACTGCTGCCCTGAGCACCGAGCCCTGAGCCCTGATGAGCTGCAGCTGGAGCATGTCTGTCATAGTCCTTTACTCTCTTCAGTACAGACAATTGGCAATGCAATTTTAATGAGCCCCCCGGAGTGCAATACTCGTACAGATAATATTTGTCTCAGCTAGCATTAGCCATGCCCAACTTGAGTCCCTTACTTGAAATTTGCTATGCAAATTGTTGCAGTTAATGTTAATGTTAATGGCAGAGTTCATGTGTTGCTGTTATACCCACATTACACGACACATTACCCAGACCTACGCCCAATCAAACGCATTCGGGAAACACTTACACTACGTGCCCAAGCATCTAAGTTATCTTCTTTCTTTTTCCAAGTGCTAATTGGTTATTCATCTGTCAATCAGCTGATAAATTCTACTCAGCTGTGATGGGAATATATAATTGGCAAAAAAACACAGCTATTGATTTTATTCCTTATCTCAATCTCGGTATCAACCTTGAACGATTCGGGGAATTTTTTATATTCTTAGAAAATCTAAAGGGAAAAAAAGAAGCAGTTCTCCTAATCTTGGAATCGAAAATATTTGTCTGTCGTTAAATTTTGGCTGCTTAAAGCGTAATAGATTTTAACATCTTTTTTCAACTGGAAAATTTCGCGGTTTCATTATTATTATTTAGCCTATTTCGCGTTTAGTGAAAGGAGTTCTAAGTATTCTAGACTTCGGGGCAATCACCGGGACTATTTCCATTTCCCATTTAATTTTGTTTGCTCAACATTCAACAGAGTTTCTTCAATTTTAGAAGAAATTAGCTAGTGATGAATATGACGGATGGATTGTACATGAAATATAAGCAAACGTTTTTTTAGGACCTGTTGGGAAACTATCTCATTTTTCAGAACAATCCCAATACATATTTGAGTTTTAGTACCTTTTGATTTTTCCTCCATCTCTAACCTTCGACTGTACCTGAGAGCCAGCACATCATCATACTATAAAATCTCTCTATTTATGTAAATCACATAATTAATATTTCTCGCGCTCAATTTGAGTTAAACGCTTCGCTTAGCTTAGCACAGGGCAAACATGAGAGAGAGACAGGGAGAGAGATATGAGAGCTACACCTATACTGCTATAACCATCACTGAACTCGGCTCAAAATATGAATATAGAACATTTCGTTCAGTTCAGTTCACATTTGCAGCTATTAACGATCAGTTATCAGTACCACAGACAAAGGCAAAATCATGCGGATGACCCAGTTTTTGTGCTTTGGAGCGACACTTCTTTTGTTCAGCCTGATGCAACAGACACAGGCGGCAGCCACATCCAGCAAAAATAGCAATAGTCCGGGAATAGTAGCCCAGATACAGCCCAATCCAGTAGGAAATCAGGCTCCCAATCCGACCACAGTGAAACCCCAACAGCAGCGACAACAGCAAGGTTCGTTTGGGCGTTCCATATTCCAATGACACAATTTAGAGCCAATATTCCGCTTATCCTACAACAGATCCCAAGTGCCTGCAACCCTTGGACCCGGGTCCCTGCCGCATGAGTCTGGATCGATTCTACTACAACAAGGATACAAATTCGTGTCAGACCTTCAAGTTTGGTGGTTGTCGGGGCAATGACAATCGCTGGGGCTTCCGTCAGACCTGCGAGGATGCTTGCCTCATCAAAAAGTGAATCGAGATCAGTGGAAGATCGATCCATTAATTATAGATAGGATATGAGATTTATGGAGAAAAGGCATAGATACAACAAAGGAATAAATAGAGCGAAGAAATTATTTCAGTTAATAAATGTTCTCGAAGGAGTTATAAAACATAACAACCCCAAAGTACTAAAACATCGATTACATCGTACTTATATTATAAGAACTATAGTTTACAGTCTTTCCCCAAGAACAATCATCGTTTCTATTTGAATAACTCTATGGCGGGTTCGTGTTCGTAGTTGATCAATCACTTAGTGAGACGTGAAAACACCTGATAATCACCTGGTGATCCATTGGTTCACACCACACCCCGTTCCGCCTTCTTTACGTGACTATCGTAGCTATCATCGAGCTTTGCGGAAACTACTCGTTTGCTCGTATCGGAATATGATTTTATATACTTAGCATATCAAAAGCCGGGCCATTATTAATATGTTGGCTATTGGCTGGAGCATTGAACTGCAGCGAAGGTTGGACACTGCGAAAGTTTCTCGGAACAGACAGAGTCGTCTGAGCGACATCGGTGCCGTGATTTACATGCGACAACGAATCAGTTGGGCAAATACTCCAATCCGATCCGATATAAAAAAGGCACACAAAAAGAGCAATAGCTATGGAGTACGTGAGCGGGTGTTGGCGGCTCTGGTGACGCACCACGATATATGAGTAGTATGAGGGGTATTTAAGCCTCGTTACGGCACAGTGCTGTTGTCATTCGCAGTCGCCCAACGGAAACGAAATGTGCTACAGATACAGCTTTATTCTGGTCATCGCCAGTGCCCTACTCCTGGTGAGCACCCTAGCAGCCCCACCCTCCGATGTGGTCGTTGAGAAGCAGGACTCTGTTTCGGGAGAGAAAGTTGTGGATGTTCCCGAGGATTGCCACCAGCCCAAGGAGACGGGACGCTGTTTTGCCCTATTCTATCGGTATGCCTACAATGTGGATACCCAGGCCTGCGAGGAGTTCGTCTACGGTGGATGTGCCGGTAATGGAAACAACTTCGAGAGCAAGGATCTGTGCGAGAAGGCCTGCCTGGGCCGTGCGGCAGTCACTGAAATCTCTGCGACCACAGAACCACAGAGCAGCGACAGTGATGTGACTACGGAGAGCAGCGGTGGCAGTGCCTAAACTATAGTTTATTTAGCGCATAGTATATAGGTTTATTAATGGCCTCCCGACCAAGCAATTAAGTCATCTCCCATCCCCACACAAATGTAGTACCTACCCACAATACACATACAAACTATGTATATTTACTTAGTATTTTAACAAGCACTTGTTAATGACCCTCGCGGTTCACGAGCACATCGATAAGCAGCCCGTGTTCCAGTCTGCGAAAGCGTATATAGCTCGGTGTTAGACCTTCGATGGGCATTAGTCGTCGTTCCACAGCAGCTGGAAGAGTTTGTACTTTCAAAAAATCAATTCCACAATGAAGTTCCTTGCTATTTTCGGCCTGATATTTGCCATGCTGGGCCTAACCCTGGCCTTGAAGGATCGTAAGTCTACAGGGAGAGATTCTATTCGAAACAGATTGCCATTCCCAACTTGAATGTTCTCCTTTTTAGCCATCTGCGAGCTTGAGGCTGGCGTCGATGGCAATGGTCTGATCAAGTGCGCTGCGTTCATGCCGAAGTGGAGCTACTACGCCGACAGCAATCAGTGCTCGGAGTTCGTCTATGGCGGCTGCGGTGGCAACGATAATAAATTTGGCAGCCAAGCGGAATGTGAGGAAAAGTGCAAGGAATAACTAATCCCCTACCCCATTTCGACTCTGATATGATTTACATATGAGAAATAGAATAAAGTGTTTTATTGAATTACAATTTGAATTACTAGATTACATTGGATATATTCATTGCGTTATTGGGAAAAACATTCCACATTGAAAGCTTTCAGAATTAAGGAAACTTTTCGTTTTGGAAGACAAAAAAGAATCCCTAAAACTATTGTGAAATTTGTGAAAAATAGACAATTCATATAAACATAAAAGTTCACCTATTTTTTTACATTTAGAGAAATCTATAAACCCCGAAATATAAAGAATATTCTGATCAACCAGAATAAAGAAGATAAGTTCCACCTACGTCTCGCCGCCTCTCTGTGTCTCTCTCCACCGCCTGCTCTCTCCCAGTGAGATCCGTACTCGTACTCTTCTGAGGCTACTGTTTTAAGCTTGGATGACCTTATTGAGAAGACTGCGTCTATCAAAATTTCCTTGGGAACATGTAAGATTAATGAATCTGGTGAACATTGTCGGAATCAGATTACAGTACTTATGAGTTTTTCTCCCTAATGATCACACAATGATAATGCGAGTTCGGAGACTTAATAGAATGAACACCGAGTCGTTACAACACGGCGCTCGTCTAGGTTAAGGGTTGGCTGATTACATTCATTGTAATTTCGTATAAAGTGTGCAACTGTTCCCTAGCTTTAGCTCACATTAAAATGAAGTTCCTGCTGCTGCTGGTTGTGTTCGCTACCTTTGTGGCTAGTTCCTTGTGCCTGAAGAACGGTCTGTCCTCCTGAGATTTCATACTGTCCTATAACTGAAGTATATCCTTTGATTTCGATAGCTATTTGTGGACTTCCATATTCCCAGAATGGAGATGGGGTTAGGGCCTGTCTGGCCTACATTCCCAGTTGGTCCTACAATGGAAGGACATGCGAGGAGTTCATTTATGGCGGATGCGGTGGCAATGACAATCGCTTCAATTCTCAGGCTGAATGTGAAGCTAAGTGTTTGGAATAAATTTTGTAGTGACTTAAAGTGAAAAATAAATGAGTGGGACTTTCCCCAATGAACAAAATAACACTCCAATTGCACTCCAATTTTGACCAAAACTAAGTTATTCTCGTTGGAGAATACTTCTAGAATCAAAGGAGAATCTTTCTCGAAGATTTGTTTGAATTTAATTGTTTGAGGAACTTACTTCCGTTTTGGTACTTTGTTTTGGAAGAGAAAAGTGTGAAAGATGAATGAATCTCAAGAACATTTTCGGAAGCATATTACGATATGAATATTTCTCCCTACGATAGTGCGAGTTCGGAAGATTAATGTTATGCAACCTGCCATTAAACGCAATTCAACACGGTGTTCGTCTAGGTTCACGGTTGGTTTGTAAGGTGATTTACATTAATAAGAATTTTCTATAAGTTGTGCAACTGGTCCATAGTTTTAGCTCAGTTTACTTTTCTCTCTGGTAGGTTGAAGTTATCGAAAATCGCTTTTCAATGAAGTTCTTGCTGCTGTTGGTTGTGTTTGCCACGTTTGTGACCAGTTCCTTGTGCCTGAAACACGGTCTGTCCTGTTGGGATTTCGCACTTTCCTGTAACTGAAGTATATCCTTTGATTTCGACAGTCATTTGTGCACTTCCACATTCCAAAAATGGAGATGGAAATAAGGCCTGTATGGCCAACTTTCCCAGTTGGTCCTACAATGGAAAGGAATGCGTGAGGTTCATTTATGGCGGCTGCGGTGGCAATTTAAATCGTTTCCCATCTCAGGCTCGATGTGAACTGTGGTGTAAGGAATAAGTTTTGAGCGCATCAAAGTGCTAAATAAATGAGTGGAAGTTTCCACAATGAATGTATTTTGAAACAGTGGAAACGTTTATTTAGCAACCCAATTTCGCCATAAACTGGGTTATTCTCAATAGAGAATGCTTCTCGACTCAAAGTAGTATGTTATTCAGGTCTTTATTGTTTTCCGTCCCATAAAAATTACCATTGTAATATGATGTACTGTTGCGCCAACAACAATTAAACGTATGCCGTATCATTTTGTATAAATTTATCGACTCTTGTCGCAGTAAAATGCAGTTAACTTTTGTCCCTTAGGTTCTTAACAACCCAATCGCATCATGAAGTTCCTGCTGATCCTGGTTGTGTTGGCTGCTCTTACGGCCAGTTCCTTAGCAATGAAGAACGGTCTGTCTTCTTGAGGATTCCTTATTTTCTATAACTGAAGAGTATCCTTCGCTTTCGGCAGATATCTGTGCTCTTCCGCACTCCCAAAAAGGATTGTGTAGGGCGCTGATGCGCAGATGGTCTTATGATGCGGCGAACAGGGTGTGCACACGTTTCATCTACGGCGGCTGCGGTGGCAACGACAATCGCTTCGAATCGCAGCGTGAATGTGAGGCAACATGTATGGAGTAAATTTCAGCAATAAATGAGTCAATAATACTGGATAAATGTGTTCTTTGACAGCCATTCAGATCAAGATTGTTTTCAATTGTCATTCATTGTTGACAGAACCCTTTCACCATCAGAAAATGCATTTAATTATGAGTTTCCAAACCTTTTCATCATCTGCTGACTGCCTTTTGTTGTGTCTGGCTAAAGCAATTATTAATTATAATCATACAATTATCATTCATACGAGTGTTGCGGCTGCTATGGGGCTTTCCCCTTGTTTGTGGCGATCGGTAAACAGAGCGAGTTCTCGGTAACAAATTCCCTGAAAAATACCAAGCAAACATCCATTAAGGCGCAATATCGACACAAATATTTACACTAAGCATTACACATTTTTGTGGAGATTTCCCAACAATGTTTTATTTTTGTTTAGCAGTTTGCTCGACTAATCGCTGTGAAGCGGTGCGATAAGCAACAGAATTTTGTATATATTATTCGACTGTTAGACTCCCAGCTTTAGTTATTTTCTGAATCTTCGAACGAGAAGCTCTCTAGACGATCATCCCAACCTCCAATTATGAAGTTCTTTCTGCTGCTGGCTGTGCTCGCTGTCTTGGTGGCCAATTCTTTGGCTCTGAAAAATGGTCGGTACTCAGCAGAGTTCTCTAGACTCAAAAACTCATTCATTCTTTGATTTCCACAGAAGTCTGTGGCCTTGAGCATTCCCGCAATGGGGACGGACGCATTTCCTGTGAGGCTTACATCCCGAGCTGGTCTTTTGATTCTAAGGCAAAAGAATGCGTGAAGTTCATCTATGGCGGCTGTGGGGGCAATGACAATCGTTTCAGTTCTAAGGAGGATTGTGAGGCAAAGTGTTTGGAATAAATACCACAAGTGATATACTCGTTAATTTTGTTGGCATTTTTGATACATTTGTACAACAGTTGAAATATCATCATCAAAAATTACATTAGCAACATTAGAGGTAGGATTTTATTCGTTTCCTTGTAGATTTAATAGTCTGACCAAATTTTTAATACAATTGGCTCTATATGAGGACTTAAATGTTTCAATATAGCCATAATATTATAAGATCAGATTTGTTTTGATTCGTGTAGCTATTTTTTTAGTTGTATTCTAACATATTTTTTGAACATCTACATATGTTTCCTATAGAAACAAAATTTATAAAAGTATGAATTGAATTTGAATTGTAACAATTTTGTTCTTTTTTTTAATTGAACTAAGAATTAAATATGCTATTAAATCCCCTATAATTTGCATAATAGATAATGTTCCTGTTTCAGCTACATGCGTTCCTTTAGAATTGTCTATTTGGAAATACATATTTTTATTACAATTCCATGGTTCAAGTTTTTATGAATCCCAGCTCAAACAAAGCCAGCTAATCGGAGTGACCCTCTCGTGGGCTGATAAGAGTTCCGGTTTGTTCCGGCCCATCCTCTGATAATTTGCCAAACATTTGCCATGAATGTTCCGGTCTCGTTTTTAATTTATATTATTTTGGTATACTTTTGCCGCTATTTAGAGCAAATAGTATTTAGTTTTGAGCAGTTGCGAACAAATTTTGTTTGTTTTAAGATTCTTTTTGAAGTTTCAGTAGGTAAAGTATAACTCAAAATCAAACCAAATACTAAAGTCTGAAAGTAAAGCTGGTGTGGTTTGCAAAATCAATAAATTGCACTGTTTATTTCATTGAGCAATAATCGCAAAGCGATGTAACCCTCCGCGATCCTGATATGCAATCCGGTTTGGATTGGGGCCTATAAAAGGCCAGCAGACTCTGCCTTCAAAGCACAGTTATCGTTCGTCCGTGCTCCAGTGATCTGCAGTCTTAAAAAATTCAATATGAAATATTTCGCTCTTCTGCTGCTGCTCTGCTGCCTGATGGCAAGTGCTTTGGCCACACTCAAGTCGCGTAAGTTATAGAAGATATAGTATATTCAGGTGATTTGGGACTCATTCGATTCGTATTATAGCTGTCTGTGGAGAGGAGTCTGGAAAGATTGGCGAGTGTAGGGCATCGCTCACGAAGTGGACCTATCGCGAGGATAAAAACGAATGCATTGAATTCTTGTACAGTGGCTGCCATGGCAATAACAATCTTTTTGATACCAAGAAAATATGTGAACAGACCTGTAAGGTTTAAAGCTTTCCCCCTCTATATAAAAGTAGCTTTAATATGAAGAAATGTTTTTGATTTAAATGCTAATATAATCATCTTTATTGGATAAATATTTATGTTTGTTTAGTTTGACTATCATAGAGCATCACTTGATGCATGTACCACAAGAAGTCTAGTATATAGATCCTATGTACTTAGGTCGCATTGCATAATCTTTGCTTTGGTTTGAATCTTTACTCGTAAATACGAATATAGATGAGCTATCTGCTGACTTTCTAAGTGTATTTCGTCAGAGTCCAGTAAACTCTCTCCGCGATAAGAAACGTCTTGTTCTGTCGCCACCATATGGTACTCGTCTATATAAAGTGATGATGTGGCCTGAGGCAGAAGATCAGACCTGAGTTTGTGTTGCATTCAGAATGAAGTATCTCGGAATTGCAGTCATTGGATTGCTGATCGGCAGCCTAACCAGCGGTGGCTTATTGGTGGAGGCCAAGCCTGGTAAGAATCGTGGGTGCTACATATACCTGTTTAATATCTGAGATATGTATATCTGATGATAGAGATGTGTTCTCAACCCCATTCGAAGGATGGCATGGCACAGGATGGGGCTGCCTGTATGGCCTATATGCCGGCCTGGACCTATGACGCCAAAAAGAATGCCTGCTCGGAGTTTGTCTTTGGCGGCTGTGGCGGCAATGCGAATCAGTTCTCCACCCAAGTGGAATGCGAAAAGGCATGTAAGGACTAGCAATGGGCAAAAAAACACCTAAACAACAAAATCACTCAAAATATTGAACTCTGAAAAGCAAAGCTTGTTGTGTTTTTTTGCAAAAACAATAAATTTCACTATTATTTCAAGGTTTGTTGTTTTTGTTTTTGTTTACCGTTCGAACAAACATCGTGAGGCAAAGCGAAACGACCCTCTGGTGGCCGCCTGATAAGCGATCCGGTTTGAACCTATAAAACGCCGCCATAGACTGCCTTCGACGAACAGTTGGTTTTCGCCAGTCCCTCAGAGAGATCTCCAGTCTTAGGTTTTGAATTTTGAATCAATATGAAGTCTTTCGCTCTTCTGCTGCTGCTCTGCTGCCTGATGGCCAGTGCCTTGGCCGCACTCAAGTCGCGTAAGTTATAGAAGATATAGTATATTCAGATGGTTTGGCACTCATTCGGTTCGTATTACAGCTGTCTGTGGAGAGGAGTTTGGAAAATTGGGCAACTGTAAGTCGCAGCAGAATAAGTGGACCTATCGCAAGGACAGCAACGAGTGCCTTCAGTTCGTCTACAGTGGCTGCCACGGCAACAACAATCTGTTCGACAGCAAGAAAGTATGTGAACAGACCTGCAAGCTCTAGGACACCCCATAAGACACACTATAAGTAGCTGTAATATGAATAAATTTGAAAGATTTGTATCCTAATATGATCATCTTTATTGCGTTTTCTCTTTATGATTAAACTTCAATCGTTAAACTTCAATTAATATTGGCTTGGCTTATGGACTTATAGTAATTAGTGTCTGATTCTGTTGTGATTAGGCTATATATCTGATTTTTCCTATATATAATATATATTTTGTGGTATATATGTATGTATATATATTGTGTGTGTGTGTGTGTCTGTTTTTTATATATATATTTTTCATATGCATATATGCTTGTTAATTTGATATTTGTTAATCATTTGAATCGTCTGCTGCTTAGATCAGGGGGTTATCTGAGGAGATAGTTCTCTCTCTCTCTCTATCTCTCTCTCTCTCTGTGTCTCTCTCGCAGCAATAACTCTACTCTAACTAAGTATCTTTTAATCGTTTTTATAAGTATTGTTTCAAAGTGCTTTATTATTTTTATTTTGTATTTATTTTTGTTGTGGTTTTTTTGTGTATTGTGTACTTTAACTTAGAGTTAAAACTAATGCTTAGATTAATATTTAAATTTCAGATTTAAATAATTTTAATTTTAATTGCACAAATTGCACCCACACTCGCCTCTTTATTCACTCTTGGCATTCACAGAAGCCCCTCCTGATCCTGATCCGGATCCTGGGGAACCTGCCCCACCGGCCACTCCCACTGATGCTGGCTGCTGTTGTGTGGGCGTGGTTGGGGGTGACAGCGTTGCATGTTGCTGTTGGTGGTGCTGCTGTTGCTGCTGCTGCTGCTGTTGATGCTGTTGATATGCCACTGCCGATTCGGCCAGATCCAAGAGCGCAGCGGATGAGCTAAGGGCTGATCCTTGTCCTCCTCCTGCTGCCCCACTTGCCACCATGCCGTTCATGGTCATGTCCTGGGCCTCGTGCTTCATCCTCAACGTGTTGTTGTTGTGATTCACGGAATGGGAGTGCGAGTGCGAGTGGGAGTGCGAGTGCTGTCCCAAGGCCGGATGATGGGCAAAGGAGAGTGGTGGCAAATGAAGGCCCGGAAAGGCCAGACCCGCAGCTGCGGCGGCATGCAACGACTGCAGCAGTGCCGCCGAGTGCTCCTGTGCCTTGCGCCGCAGCTCTGCCACGGAGTTGGAGCGTGGATCATGGCCCCCCGATCCCTGGCTGGACTTGGGCGATTCCGGGGAGCTGGCCGCCGAGCTGCTGCTCACAGGGACACTCATCGAGGGTGCCACCCCCGAGGAGGAGGAGGGCGGCAACGGTGGCGGCTTCAGAGAGCAGCAAGAGCACAGGCTCTGGAAGGGCGAGCAACCTGATGAAAAGATGAAAGATTGACTTTGATTTATCTTCTTGCAGGAGCAGCTGCCTCACGGCTCCCCATCTAATCTGATTATTCGATTATGTTGGGTGCTCTGATTGACTTTTGATCGATTAACGTACCTTTGAGGCCCGGAAAGAGCGGCTGATGCGAGAACTGCGCCGCCAGATGGGGCGGCAGGAAGAGCGGTGGATGGTGGTTCGTGCCACGTTGTGCTGCCGCCGCTGCAGCCGCTGCTGCCACGGCGCTCTGTTCACTCAGCACCGGACGAAAGCCGCAATTGCTGGAAGGGGAAGATTAAAAGAGAATGTGTTAATGGATAAGAAAAGTTCTCTTAAAATAGGTACAAGAATCACGGTAAGGGGTCTATGATTGAACCCACGCTATGCCGTTAAGCCACACTGGGAAAGAGAGAGCGAGTAATAAGGAACTTCCCTTCTGTGTTTCTATATCTTGTTGTGGTTACATTTACAAACTACTTGATCAGCCCTCGCTGTTCACTTGCACCCATTTACACTGTCAACTGCTTTGCATTTCGCTTCCACGCGCACATTCAACAGAGAACAGAAAAAACCAGCAAACAAACAAACGGAGTTTTAATTAACGCTTAATTGAAATAAATTAAAACATTTTTATGCGTAATTGCATTATTATTAATAAACCTAAATATTTTTGTTGAGAGAGAGAGCGAGAGCGAGTGGGCCTGGGCGCACATTCGAACACCCAGTTGTCTGTTAATTGAATGAAATATTACGCTTAGTCGCATGTCAAGGCAATTCGGAACAAAATACAAAATAAAAAACGCGATCCTCCCCATTCCCGGGGCCACAATTAATGCAATTTGAGTATTTTAATTGATAAGTGAGCCAAAACATTCGGCGGAGGGAGAGATATATGGATAAATTCCTATCATCCCCATTAATAAAATTATGCAATATTATAAATAGACTTTTTTATTAGAAATAATTGCGTTTAATCAACTCGTTTTTTTTTTTTGTGTTGACGTCGAATCCATTTCGAATGTGAAATTTGAGCTAGAAAATGGGAAAAATTCAATTTTCATCTGTTCAAATTAACATTAAGCCTCCTGCACCTGCCAGTTGCGTCCCCGGGGGATATGGCCAGACAAATGTGTCTGAAATTTAATAATTTTCATGGTAGCCCTGGTCCTGGCGTGGGCACAAAAAATCTGTGGCTCTGGCTCTTGCCAAATGCTAATCGAGTTGGTCGGAAAGCGGCATGGTCTTTGGGGCATGCCTCGCCTCGCGAGTCGCGACCACAGAGCCACCAGGACCACAATCGTCGTGGCCGCTGTCGCTTTTAATTCTCCTCGCGTTTCGCTGTTTTTATTTTGTTTTTTTTTTTTTTGTTTTCACTCCCCAAATATCCCATTTCTCTGGCCTTCTAATCTCGTCATGTTTTTGGGCCTTCCTCTTAGCCTCTGACGCTTGTTGCCGGTACCGCTGTGATTTTTCGAGGTTGGTTTCGCCGCTTTCTCTGATGACTTTTTGGTAGTTGGAGAATGCAAAACAGTTTGGCCGCTTGAAACAGAATTTTAAATGTGGCAGCTGTGTATTTTTAGCAATTTTTAGGGGGCCGCTTTGATATGAATTATGATTTGAATTAAGTAAAAATTGTCGACGCTTTAGATGCCAGAAAATATTTGTAATTGGTGAAATTTATTCCCTATAATTTCAGCTCATTTTCTTTATGAAAAACTTTCAAAAAATCGATTATTTCTCAGTTCATCGATAAAAAAAAACCAAATTCCTTTTAGCTATAGGAACTTTTTGGCTTTCCCAACAACCCATGAATAGTTTATACCCATAAAGAGGGAGCCATACCCCTACCTTAGCCACCCCCAATGGCTTCTCTCCCCTCTCTCCAACGCCCATGGCCCCTAATTAAGCTTAAAGTCAAAAAAGCAAAAGTCCAAGCGGCAAAAACGAGATGAGAAAACTCAAACACGAACAACAAGGAGAGCAAACAACACTCAGCCATAGACATAGTACCCCCCACCGCCACCTCTATTTCCCCTCTCCCCTCCCCCGCCACCGCCCCTTTCATCTAGTTGCGAAAAAAGCAGTAAACTTAAATGTTTGCGTATAATTAAGCACTCATCCTTTGGTCGTAATTAAATTTTGCATGTGCACATCCAACAGATGCCTCGGACTGGGGCTACGGGTCTGACTTTGGGGCTTGGGGGCTTCGTTCTAGAATGTACATATATATGGGTATATGTATGTGTATGTTGAGCTCTCTGTGAGAGAGGTGGCAAGGGAAGGGGTATACAAGTCCCACGCCCTCTCAACTGCCGCCGCCTTAATTGCTATACTCAACAAGGCAGTCGTTTGCTTCTCCACTCCACCATCCATCCATCCGTCCGTCCATCCATCCAGCTCGCTCGCACAGCCCACTTTCTCCACCTCCCTTTCTCTAGCTTCTGTTTCCCTCCTTCTCACTCTTTCTGAGACTTTCGTGTGCTTCCCTCTCTCTCTAATTAAGACATTCACAAGCGTCGAGTGTTGTCGTTGAGCTCGTTAGTTAGTACATAACTTTTCCTCTAGGCTCTGCCAGATGTACAGTACTAGGAGGAAGGGGTGTATGGGGTCTATGGGGTCTACCCTCTCAGGTAATATTGTCAATGTCAATCTCTGAGCTCTCTCATACCTTGGAAGACGAGTCTTTCTGGCAAAAGTTTTTCTTAAAATTTTCGCACTTTTGCGCACAGATTGCATTTAGCCAAGGATAAAGTTTCCACGACATGCGAGAGACATGCCCCCCCACTTTCTGTGTGTGTGCTCTGGCGTAATTAGTCGGGCAAACATTTTAATGCTTTACGCAATTCTAACAAATTAAACTCAAGCAATCAACACCTACATACCCTGGCTTAGTACCCACTCGTACCGCCCATCCCCCCACACATCTGGCCCTGTTTGTGCCCCCGCTTGTGCCCCTGCTTGTGCCCCTGCTTCTGCCCCTGCTTCTGCCCCCGCTTGTGCCCCTGCCTCTGCCTCGTCAAAGTCAAACTTAATTTCCGCAAAATGTATTTTTTTCCACGAAACTTTTTGGGTTTCGTTTCCCCAGGATCCTGTGCTTATTATATTAGGCTACACCCAAAAAGTTGTTGCCGGCTGCTAGGGCGAGATGGAGCTTATTTTAATTGCATGATGAATATTAAAATATTTGCTTAATTTATTATTCAGGCATTCGCATTCGTGCGCGCAAACATCAACGAATACAGGTGGAATTTCGGGCTGGCATTCCACCAGGTACATAACTACATGGTGGGATTGGGTTACATGTTTTTGGGGGGGAGGGACTTCTCTTCTACATCACATAGATGCTGGGTACATATTTAAGTATTTAATGGCGGGGCTTCCAACTGATGTAATACATATTTAGTTATTTGTGCATAAAGTACGAGATAGAGTAGAGATTTTTGGGGTGGTGCTGTCAGGCATTCAATTAACATATTCCAGCAGATGATTTTCGGGCTTTGGTTTATAGAACAGCATTTGGGTGGGCTATTCCGATCATATATGATAGTTATATTGTTGTTTGGTTTATACAACATATAAGGCATATACATGGTTTCGCTTAGCTGGAGTAAGACTAATGGAAGACCTCTTTAGAGTCGCGTCAGAGAAGCCTCTCTGCACAAGTTGCAGGCTGTAGAAAGGATGCCTTGTTCCACAGTTGCCCATGGATGTTCCCCAATCAGGGCCTTTGTACTGACTGTACTCCTGTGTGTTTTCCTTGTTTTTGAAGCACAGTAACACTGTTGAAAAGTACTACTTAAAAACTGCTTCGACTTCCCCGTAGCGGTTTGCTTTACTTATTATTTATTTGCTTTGTAAATGTTTTGGTTTGTGGCTTTTAAACATTTTCGTTCGCAGCCAAGACAATAAATATTGCATTTAACTGCTGTTGGGTCGTTGCATAATTTGAGAGATGCCTTTACGAGAAACCCGTTCTCCAAGTGGCCCGACCCAAGTGGTGTCGCCTCTTACATGACTCTTGCCTTGCCCCTGACGTCATCTCGCTAGACCTTGGTGGGGGGCTCTGTCATCCAGGGCAAGTGCGGATTAGTGCTGGGTATCTCTGCTGATTGAACTAAAATAATTATTTATTTAGTTGTTCGATTTGCATAAAATATGCACGCCAGAGCCAGAGAGCAGAGAAAAGAAAGTAAAAGAAAGCTGAAGCAGCGCCCAGATACATATCTTTGGAGTCCGCTGGAGCTGAGTGCCTGACTAATGCGATGATAAATATTTGCGATGAAACGCTTCACTTGAGATTGAGTCCTGGAGGACATCCGGCACTGAGCATTTGAATAACAATATCATAGGAGGGACACTCGTATCACAAATTCTGAGTGTTTTTGCATTCAACAACAAAATCGGAATCGATTTGGTCAACCGTTACAGCAGCAGCAGGACTCATCAGGAATCCGAAGGAATCGACAGGAATCGGCAGGGGAGTATGCAATGATTCAGCAATCATAGAATCTTCAGAAGCGTGCCCCTGCCCAGTGGGTTGTCCTGCGTCCTGTCGCATAGACTATTATGTCTCTACCGGATCCTGTTCTTTTTTTTTATTGTGGTGTAATATTTGTTGTTTGGGCGCGTTGACATGTGAGTGGAGTTGAGGACTTCGGGGTCGAGTCTTTGTTGGGCCGCCCGTGGCCTCTTTGCTGGCTGATGAGACCGCCCACTGATACAGAGAGAAAAAACGAACAAACGAGACAAAGAGAGAGAGAGAGAGAGAGAGAGAGAGAGAGTTCTATAGAAAAAAGTGAGTTTCAGCCACCGCCTTTTGTGCGTCGTTAGGCCCGTGGCATATGGTTACTTTGCCAGCAAAAATTTCGACTACAACAAAACACCCTCGTTTACGCCCAATTTAATTTTCAAGTAGCTTTTTATGGCCTTGTGGCCAGCAAATTCTGAAAATTTTGAATTTGTGATCTGAGTGGCTCTAAAGCCAGAAATAACACAGTTAATATTCATTATGAATAATAAATGGTGAAGCTGCGAATAGCATTTACTAGATGATCAAAGGATGATCCTGATCTTATATTCGCAAAGAAATTTTAGGATTTTCTGATAAGTTAGTTTGATAAAAGTTGTGATGCTAAGTGTGTTCTATCGGTAGAAATATAATACCTTTCTAATAATACAATAACCATATCCTAAACCCAAATAATAACTATATTCAGATCACCATTTGTGCGAAATTTCTGATGAATTGCATGAATGTTAAGTGAAATATTCAAGCTCATTAGAGGGTAAGCCAATTAGGATTCGTTCGAGCTGCTGCTTGTAGTTTCCACCACCTCCTGGGGGACTATCCATGTCGGCAGCACCCTCGCTCATGCCATTCGACATTCGAAACGATTATAAACCCAACGATCTGCTAATTGCCTGCGTGTCATTAAGCTTCCACTTACAAAGGAATTAGACAAACAAACAATAAAATTTATGGCAAGTGTCGCATTTTGTCGTCAAACAGCGACAGCGACAGCGACAAAAACAACTGCCAGGAAAAATAAAGAAACGACGGAAGGAGAACAGAAGGACTCATTGCAACCCCCTGGACTGGTACTCTGAGGAAATATTTACAAAAATCCAGGCACTGGATTGCGACAAATGTCACCCCTAAGTGGGCATCCACTTCATCTTTTTCCTGGCTTTTGCCCTGACTCTGACTCTTCCTCTGGTCTCTATTCTCTGGGTTTTTTCTGGCGACGATGACTAAATTAGCCGTTGATTGCACTAGCAGGAGGATGGTATCGGAGGTCGGACGATCCAGCCAGACAACGACCGCAATGAGAGCAATAATGACATTAGATGGAACATTTGGGTGGAAGGACTCTTGGATTCTTGGGCATCCCTTCCACAGAGCCCGACTCCTGCGGTGCTCTCTCCTCTCACGGGTTATTGAACAGGCGTGCGCAACGGAAGGCGGTTCTACTTAATGTTTTGGATGGAAAACGTTTAAATTCCATTGGCGCACTTCCGGTCAGCGGATGTCGTGTGCGCCAGCGGAAACATTAAGAGAGCAACCTCTCGTTCTCCCCTCCAATCCTCGCCGAATAGAAATCCCTGCCCTAATGATGCTGCTGGGTCATTGATATGAACGGCACGTGCAACCAGAGGCGCCCAGTGTCTAATCACCAACGGAACATCGCCTGAATGACTCGCGCCATTGTCTTTAACATATGTGGGATATGCCGCATGGATACGAGTATCTATCTGCCTATCGGTGGGTCGGTGGGTGGATATATGGATGGTGTTCGATAATGTTTTGCAATTGTATTTGCTGGGAGTTTCAATCCGTTTCGAATGAGGGACTAAAACTACTTGAGAGACATACATATGTACTTTTAAATTTAGGAGACTTGAACTGCCTTTACCATCATGGGATCTTATCTGGTATGGTATAATCCAGAGCTAAGAAAAGTTGTATTTACTTACTTATCGCTTGAGCTTCCAGCACCAAAGCTGCCAAAGATATGGCTACCAAAGGCCGCCGCCGCTGCAGCCGAAGTGTGAGGCATCTGTGGGGCATGCGGCGTCGTGGGCGTTGGCGTCGACGAGGCCGAGTTGTTCGAGGAGTGTTGGCCCATCCGGGAGCCGGTGGTCAGCGACATGGGTCCGCCCACCTCGATGGGCGAGTCGGTGTTGCGTGAGTTCGAGGGGCTGCTGGGTGCCTGGCCGCTGGCCAGCGGCGTGTGCTCACGCATGCCCGGCGATGGGGAGCCGGCACTGATGGAGCCCAGCGACTGGGAGGCAGAGTGCGGAGTGGCAGTCAACTGATTGGAGGACAAAGGACGCTCGTTGTCGCTGGAGTCCAGGTGCAGGTTGCCGCCAGGACTGTGGGAGTGCGAGTGCGAGTGGGAGTGCTGCTGCTGCTCCATGGGGCCGTTGGCCATGGGACTGTGGGAGCGCTGACGCGGCATCTCGTCCATGTCGTCATCTATTTCGCCGGTGATGTCTGGCGAGGATTCGCGTGAGTCGTGAAGCTGCAAGGAGATTGAGGAAAGGTGGTCACCAAGTCTCTTCGGTATGGCAACTGCATTCCAATCGTTATCCTTTTAGCCTTCTCTCCCCCTTACCTTATCCAATGAGCTGCTGCTCTCGCCATTTTCCCGCTTGCGCTGTTCGTCCTTTAGCCGCTCCGCCTTGCGCCATTTGGCCCGACGATTCTGGAACCAGACCTAAAGGGAAAACAAAAACGACAACGAGAGAGAGAGAGAGAGAACGAAATTGGTAAAGTTTTTTGATATGGCCACATGTCTATTATTTATGCCACGGGGCAAGTTCTCTTGACTTTCGCCTGGCAGCCAATTGAAAATTGAAAAACTTTCCCCACACACACACACAGCGAGAGAGAGAGAGAGAAAAGAGATGATTGTTCTTGAGGGGGGGGTTGGCTGTGGAGTGGAAAACAATAAACGAAATTTTCCACCTCACAAACTTTAACAATTTCCATTGCCTTTCCTTTCCCCTCCCTGAACACCAATCTAAGACATAAACAAACAAAATCTGATTTTCAATTTTGGCAACGAAGACAAAACAAATTTGGCCTGTAATCAGCGCCTAAATTTGGTTTGGGGGAAAGGACGGTACGGGACGGGTCGGGGCACACATGGCTGCTGCTGTTCCTGTTGCCTTACCCCTAATGAGGCTCAATCAAGACAATGCCCTGGCATCCTCAAGACACAGACACATCCTTTGGATTGCTTGCTTATGCACGCGTGTTTCCACAGTCCTGCCAATGCCACTGCCACTTCCGCTTCCCTTTCGTTTCGTTTGCTCTTAGTTCCGGTTTGCGCTGATTCCCCTTAGAGCTTAGAGCGCCCCCTAATGGGATTTCCGTTAGAGGCGCCATCTTGAATGTTCTCTCTCTCTCTCTCTCTTTCTTTCCTGTCTCTATATACGTGTGTGTGTGTGTGTGAGTGTGTAAGTAAATTTCCTAATCAAAATTCAAATTAGACATTGTGCAAAAGTTCGCCTTCATTTTGCCATCATTGTTGTAATCATAACGCAACATAAAACAATTTCAGCATTCTTTGCCCCAAAGGCAAATGGTGCTGCCACTGCCACTGCCACTGCCACAGCCACCTCATGGCCGCCATGTTGCCCCAGACTTGTATGGCCCCATCATCCCACCCTGGCAAACAATAAATTGCGCACAATCCAACCCCCAAAAGGCAGGCAGCCACCCCCTCTACGGCAAAACACACATCCACCTCCTACCACCCACCACCCACCTCCACTCCCACTCCCCGTCAGTTCTGAACTTTTCCTTCGTTCGTCTCTCTTTTTTTTTGGTGGTGGTGACGCCCACCAGTTACTTAATACAATATTTATGCCATAAGCACATTACCAATAAAATATGGCTGGGCGAACTTTTTTTCTTGTGGCCCTTTGGGGGTAGCATAGAGTAGAGCAACAGAGACGGAGGGATATATGCACATATAACCAGACAGGGACAACAGGAGTATCTGTAGCTGTAGCTGTGTTCCCCTTCCAGTTATTATGACAAAAATTGAATAATGAAAAACAATTGTGTGCTCACTCACTCCGCCTCGCCTTTAGGGTACGAATATGTATATATTTTTGCTTCAATAATAATTTCATGCAGAATTTTGCTTTGTTGCATGCCTCTCAGAGGGAACAGAACCCGAATCCACCTCGCCCTTCCGCAGACCTTAACGTGTTTCTTATTTATTCAATTCCACTTGGTTTAGTTTCTTGATTGCTTGCCAAGGCTTACTTACACTCCGAAGGGAGGAGGAGCTGGTGCTGTTTCCAGAAAGACAACAAGGAATGGGATCCTGGATAGATTTTTCGATTTTACATTTTATTATTTCAGTCTCATGGGCAATTAATTATGTGTTTTCCCTGCGATTTCAAGGAAAAGGTACTGATTGAAATATTGAATTTGCATTTCAAGCAATGCAATGCATACTTTTAGGAGGTGCCTAAAGATTCGGTGCAGTGTGGGTCACCAAAACCTAGAAATGTCTCTCTATATTTTAATTAAATCAGAATATAAATGAACGACTGATTGGAAAATGTATGCTACGGAAAAAGCAGAAGAGTGAATAATATTTCGTTACTTCGTTTAATCCTTTAATTTACAAATATCAACTTGAATTCGAAAAAGTCGGGGTCACCACTTTTCTTGTATGCAAATTTATTATTCCTAGAATATGTATTACTCGGAACAAATGCGTTTTGTAATCCAATGAAATTGTTGCCAAGAATTAAATAATTAATGTAAGACGCAAAGCTTAAGAGTTTTTGCTTCGTAATATTCCCCAAAGAAGGATCTCTAGAACCTAGAACCCTCTACCCTACCCCCAAAACCTTCAACAAACAGCAAACCCCGCTGCACATGTCTCTCCTTATCAACACATTAGAACGGATCCGCTGAAGAACCCTTCTCCGGTACCCTCTTCAAGTAATTTATTTACCCAAGAACACCGCCCAAAGGCGGCAAAAAGTTCTCATAATTCTCAAGAACAATGGCAGCAAGCGAATAATAGGCATAACAATTATTCATATCCTCCGCTCCGTGGATCGCTAGGGCAAACAGCAAACAGAATTTTTGCGGTTACAAGTTACGAAAACCGATTTGCCATGAAAATGAAAACAAATAAGCAAACAAGAAAGGACGGACGGGGTCCTGGGGAGGATACACTCGTCGAATTTATGGCAGGGAGGACCAGTGTAAATAAAACAAAGTTGTTACACACCAAAATTACAGCAAAAAAGGAAACAATGAAGCTGAACAAAAGGTAAACACCACCCAGACCCAGAGTATCTGGGGATAGAGAGGGGGAAGGGCCCAGCAGGACGATGCCGAGTCCTGGGGTAATTACGGACAAGTGCGCACCATTAGCTTCCGCAAACAGTTTGTCCTGCCCCTGCCAGTGCCACTGCCACGGCAAGGGGCACAAGGAAACACTCAATGCAAACAACACCCAGAAGCCAGGAGCCAGGACCAGCAGCCAGCCGATCAGGATGATGATGAGGAAACAGCTCAAGTGGAATGAATGAACAGATGTGTTAATATCAAACGCATTTTGAGGTACTCGTACCAAACCCTTTGCAGCAATAATTGGGCTACCGCAACAGCCAACACCATGCACCACGCACCCCGCACCACAGAGCCTCTCACTCGTTCCCATCCCTGTGGAACGGAACCGCCCATCGCCTGGGGCTAGCCATAAGGCCCGGTTCGACTACCGCATTCGGTTGAGCCGGCCATCAACTTGGATCAGCATTAAAGGATTACTCGAGCAAATGCAATTATTTGACAGGCGGCCTGGTCAACCCCTTTGGGCGCTTCAGCCCGAAACCACTTCCACACCCACAAAGCGCCTTCCTTCCTTCCATCCTCGTCATCTTCTGCGGTTTTTTTTCTCTTCTCACTAGTTTCTCACATTCACCGCAGTGGTCTTTGGTGCCTGTTATTATAATAAATTATCAATTATTGGCATTATATGTGGTCGCCCACTTTCCCGTTGGCTCGAAGGGGTTTTCGGGTGGTTGAGAGTGGGTGGGTGGGTGTTTCTCTTGAGATTGTCATGGACTGTCGATGGGTTCGGGTTGAGCACATTAATTCTAATCGAATTAGTTATGTATGAGGAGGTGCATATAGTCGGAAATATGAGACGCGGTAATCGCAGTGCAAGAGTGTGGGCTAAGGACTTCATTATTTATCGTATATCCGGGGGAATTGATAACTGCTGTTGAAGCGAACGAGGGGCTTATGGCAAATATCGTGATTAATGTATGAGGAAGTGGCATACCTGAAAGCATTTCATGGGCGGAATGATGGAATGAAAGCCATGTTCTCTTCCACTATTTGGTAAATATCGAAGAAGATTAAGTCGATGATTAATCGATTAATGAACCCAAGGCTCTAAAAACTCTGATAACCAGTCGAACAATGTTTTCAAACTAGTAAAAGGCTCTATGTTCTATGCAGAACAAATCTCTTGTAATATTTTGTTTAAATATCGATAAAAACTCACTGTTTCGATTTATATAAAATAATATCGATTACTGCAAATATTAAAGTAAGAAAAATAATCTATAATTATTATGTAAATTCTCTCCAACACATTTTCCAATGAATATTCTCTTGTCACCCCAAAAACTCTCATCCAGAGAGTTTCCCTCAACCTCTAGAATTCAAAAATCAAATTTCTCACTCATTTATCAATCAATATCAGTTATTGGCAAGCTCTTCGGCATTACCTCAACTTCAAAGTGCTTTGTCCTTGTCAGGTGAAACGCCGCACCATCGCCATGTATCCATGTGGCCCGATCCACAGCTGGGTCCCTGGCTTTGCCTATAAGCTCGCTGGGATACATTAAGTAAATGATTTTTGCAATGAACTCAAATGCGTTGCGACAGGCAGGACCGGCGCCAGGACCTCTACCGGGGTCGTGGTTGGGCATCAAAAATTGACAGACGAAAAAATCTCGTGGAAAAACGTATCGGGTTACAATCGTTGTGGGTCGCGACGCGGCAGATCCACAGAGCGGCTAAACTGAAGTCGGCGGGGAGTTCCATTTCAGACCGGGCGGGGGGGAATCAAGCGAAGTACACATAATAAATTTTATTATAAAATTTATTTCCTCTCTACCATGATGAGCCCCCCAAAAAAATGTGTCAAAATGTGGTCGAGAGAAAGAGAGGGAGGGAGAAAGGTGGTGCCGCACCCGCACCCTCATCAAAATATTTGGCATTCATTCCATTATCGAAATCCCAGACTAAGCTGTCCAGTCCGACCACGAAAATGTTTTCCCGCTTTTTCCACCAATTTTTCCACAAATTTGTGTGAGTTCCTTTTTTTGTGTTTTTCTGCGTTGGTCTGTCATTTAAAGATCTGTCTCTCTGTTCTCGCTATAAACTCGGACCAAAGTTGCCAGAATTTGACAGAACGGCGGGGGGTGGAATATAGACAAGGGTTGGGGTTGGGATTGAGGCAATATCTTGGGTAATTTTGTTAGGGCCTGACAAGTACACGTGTTTGCGACAAGTGTCCCATTGTTGGACACTTGACATACAGCATTTTTTTATGACAAATTGAATTGAAAGTATCTGGTTACGCCTGGGAAAGTCATTCCGAAGGTATACTACGACCATAAGAAGTGCTGTGTACACGAGAAGTGGCCTGCTAATTGTGCCGGAAATAGATGGAGAGGACGTTGTCATTGCCATAGACGAGTATAACGTCACCAAAGTGTTTTTAATAGCCACCAAAGTGTGTGTGGGCCCCGACAACGTGTCTAGTTAGTGTTGCATCCTCATTAAGTTTCGTTTCAGCATCTTTTTCTGTGCATAATTTGCTTTTGGCCTCAGATACAACGTGCTCGAGTGCACACAGTGCCGCCCACCCATAACCTGAGATCTGATGCTGCTCCTCTTTAAGTGTGGAAGTAGATCCGCTAATTGTCAGCTTTCCGTGCACTAATCTGACAAATGCACCACACAATTCCATGCAAATTGGCTCCGTCTAATGGTTACCACAGTCACAGCTACAGTTACAGTTACAGTTACCCCTTTCCCCCATCCATCCCACGCGAAAAAATCTTTTTCTGACTTAATTTGCATCTGTAGCCGCACGAGGCTCCAGTGGCTCTCTGTGCCTCGAAAGTGATTCTAATTTTGGAAACAATTGTGCAAAAATTGTGAATGAATGGCACTAATCAGGGATAAAATGAATGAGCGTCGTAATCATGACTGAATGAATGTCAGTAGTGAAGACAATTGAAGGAAATATTATGAGGTTCAAGATCTGTTAAGGTTGGATAGGTTCTCAAAAACGGTTTACTTTGATTGAAATTATAGAAAGGTAATACTCGAAATATTGTCGAAAAGATATTTCTTCCAGAATCTCCCAATATTCCCACATCTTCTAGGGCTACTTGGCCTCCGTTAACTCCTCCTTCAACCATCATTATTCTGATGGCTTAGAGTCCCTGATGCAAAACGAAACTCCACTCCCAACGGTTATATTGAAAAGTAAATTTGATTTATTTAGGGGCATAGAGAATGCCTTGATAACCAACAGAAAAAAGCAATTTGCTGTGCCCTCAGTCCCCATTCCCCATTACCCATTCTCCGTTCCATATTCTTTTTTATTTTCTTTCTTTTTTTAACGCTTAAGAACTTTGCATATTTTGCTGCTCTTGGGTGGCGTCTCGTGGCACATTCAAAATGTATATAGAATACATTTTTTTCAAGGAAGTTATTGCATTAGGTATGGAACATGCCACCCCGTCCGAAACCCATTCCCCCTGCCTGTTGTAATCCCCGAATCCTTGGGCCTTTACAGCGCATGCATATGCATTATTAATAGAAAAAGATTGGAAGGAGGATGAGTTACAGAGACAGCAACAGCAACAGCGAGAGCTTTGATCAGACTGCGTGACCGGCCTAGGGTTGTCCTACGGTCTTATTCTTATGAAATTTGATACGATTTTGTAAACTTTTTCTTATTTTACATAATTTTCCGGTACCCCAAAAAGGGGTCAGCAAATCACAGTTTTAAAGATGGAGTTCTTACCTGAACACGTGCCTCTGTGAGGTTGATTTTCATGGCCAGATCCTCGCGCGTAAACACATCCGGATAGTGGGTCTGGGCAAATGCCGTCTCCAGCTCCTCCAGCTGTCAGTCCGAGAAAGAAAATAATTAAAAATGTAACAACATTCCTTCCATCTTTCGTCTTCTGTGGTGGTTCTGGCTCTGCTCTTACCTGTTGCAGTGTGAAAGTGGTGCGATTCCGTCGCTGCTTCCGCCGGACAAAGGTCTCATCGTGTATGGCCGGATGATACGAGTAGCTGGTGTCTGTTGAAAAGAGAAGCATACCGTGAGAATCCTGGGTATTAGTCATGTGAGGTGTTGCCTTAGCTGGCATAATGCAACTAGTTGCAACTTGGGGGATTTACTAATTGAAAAGCGTAGGAGCATAAGTGCCGATAAGCTGGGCATATGTTGTTGTTTTTCCGACACTACCTTCCAGTAGCTTTTGGGAGATGTAGTTAAAGTGTTTAGTGTGGTTTTGGTTGGATAGATTCACAGATAAGTAGCTGAAACAAGTGAATTGCCTTTGGTATCTTTGTATCTACTAAAAAGATTTTTATTCGAGCGCATTTCTTCTCTATTTATAAGAGTTTATTCCTACTCTCCTTGTAATTCCTTCCTGTAGTTGCTATAAACATTCCAGTTCCTATTTCTACACTTTCCACTCAGAATTCCCCTAGAGTTCAGCTTTCAATCACAAGTTTTCCTCTAAATATTGTATGACCCAACTATAACTGCCTCGGAAATCATTCATGGCAGAAGAGTTTTCTCCACAGTGCCTCCACGGCTCGCCCCCGCAACGCAACCCCTTCCCTGCTCTGCTCGGCTCTGCTGCCACATGCCTTTGCTGAAAGCCAGCTGTTGCCAAAAATTGCAGGCTAATTGAATTTTCTAGCAGCAGCGCCATTTTGTATGCTACAAAATATTTTATAACTGCCTTTTGAGCTCCAGAAGCAGACAGAGAAAGGGAAAAAGAGTGTGAGAGAGGGATAGAGAGGAAGAAAAAGGCGTTGACAGCCCCACTTGACCTCCACTCAAAAACCACCCTCCCCACCCCCCAAAAGAAGAAAGGGGTTGGCAGCAGCAGCAGCAGCAGGAGGGGGAAAATGTGAAACCAAAGTCGAAAGGCAAAAGTCGGAAAAGGCGGAAACTTTGTCGGACCTTTTTTGCCGGACCGGACTCCGTTTCGGACTCTCGTTCGTGTTGTAAAATTAATTTTCAATTTGATTTTAAATAAATAATTAGCTGGCAAATTGCAAAATTTAATTTTAATTTTCTTCGTTGCCAAAGGTCTCTCCCCCACTCCGTGAAGCTTCTGTCTCTTGTTCTTTCACTCTCTTTGGTGGAGTGTGTGCCGCTCTCTCTCGCTCGCTTTGGGCTCTAATCCGATTAGCTGAAATGTTGTTACTTTGGCATTCATTTGCGCCATGTTGAAGGTCGTACCAGTGCCCCGTCCTCGAACCCATGCTCCCTCCCCCCCAGGGACTCTATGTAATGCGCACTAATGTTGTTTGCTACGTTTTTCCTTCCCTCCACCTCTCTGGCCTCTATCTCTTAGGGGTCGGAAAAGTGTCGCTATGCTTGCCATCGATTAATATTTAATTATGAAAATAATTAGAAAATGTTTCCACTCTGCTTTGGGCTTCTATTCGGTATCTCTCAGGTAAGCCAAACCATCCATGTATTCTGCTAATTAAGCACGCACTTCAGACCAAAAATCAAGCAATCTGTTCACAGAGGAAGTCATCGTTCGATGAGAGAGGACGGGTCGTAGGCTAATCGAATAGTCGATGAGTCAGGATACGAGCACTCAGCATATCTTTTTGAGGGGGGCTAACGATTTTCTGGCAAGATAGGTTATCATTAGAGGTGGGTGAGTGAAGCGGAGAATGGTGTCTAAGTATCGGTGTATCGGTGCTATGACGATTGATCAATATTTATTATCTCGATATCCAAACTTATCGAGGACATCAATAGTTATTTCTTTCTGGTATCGATATCGCTGCTTGTCAAATCGTCTTCTATCTGAGACCCGCTTAGTGTGTTCTCATCTCTAACTTATCTCATGTCTGCCTAGCAGCTGGCTCCACTGCAATTTTCTTGCTAATCAAATTCTTTCCAGCCAATAATTGCCTAAAATGCAAATGGAAATGCCCAGAGAACCGGAGGAGCAGAGCAGGCACAGAGCAAGGATGATTTTTGGTCATAAATGCCTCAGGGCCAGCAATGGGAGGCCACAGAACAGAAAGAAGAACCAAAAAGCGTTGAACGGGGGCAACACACACTCTCGCACACGCACACACACACACAACCGAGAACGACCAAGCGGCAATTAGCACAATTAGGTTTCGAGTGCAAATCCCAAAGCGCAGCAAAAGCTTGGCCCAGTCCAGTCCAGGCCAGTCCAGTCGTCTCTCCAATAAGAATTTCATGCTGAAAGCTTTGCTGTGGCAACAATCCCCAAAAACCCAAACCCAAACCCAAACCAGAGGCAGAGGCAGAACCCAATCCCAGCCCTAAACAACCCCACCCGGTGCTCATAGAGGCCACCCTCATGTTCCTGCCTCAAACATCAAACGTCAGTGGCAGTGGCAGTGGCAGTGGCAGCATCACCAGAAGCAGGCACCAACAAGTCAACTAACCGCACTTGTCAGGAAGACAGGATTAACAAATCCTTGTTGGCAAATTGATTCAAAAAGTACGTACGCAGAGGGGGCGCACAGACGCCAGCCACCTCTATCCATCTCTCTTTCGCTGTCGGAGAGTGTGTCTGTCTGTCTCACTCGTGCCACACAGAGCTGCTCTGTGCTCCGTGCTCAGTGTCTGCTCGTTAGCTGCGCCGGTAATGGGAGATAATTCAATTTTTAAACATTTGGCATAACAAGCGAAACCATCATTAAGGGATTTTCGGTCTTTTGCCTCGCTCGTCGAAGGAGAGAGACACACCAGTCGGCAGTCGTCGAAGGAGAGTCAGGCAGTCAAGGAGGAGGATTCCCTGGCAATCAGCTACCAGCCCAATTCTCCACCCACTCAAGGCATGTCTGCTGTGCTGTGCTGTTTTTGTATCTGTAAGATACATGTCTGCAACTTTGTCTGCCATTTTTGGTATCTATACCAAACAAAAATCAATTTTCATTCGATTTCTGTTTTCGTTTACTTAATCCAAGAGCCAAAGGAATTAGCATTCATTATGGGAGTAGCAGAGAAGTGGAGTAGTTTCTTGAGCAGTGCCCTAGTTTATGGTGCCTTCACCCTTCCACCCTTCCACCCTTCACCCTCCCGTCTTGCAGCAGTATTCCCATTGCATAAGGTTGAGTATCGTGTCACCCCTTACGAAAGTGTCACCATCATCGTCTCAATTTCAGTTCGTTCTCAAAAGTCCAGGCACGCGTTGGCAAATTTTAAATTAGTTTAGCAATTGAGAAGACTTCTGCCTCTCGGTGTCAGCTCGCTCTCAGTTCTTTTGGGGTGGCCTGGGTATATTCGCCGTAGGTGGGGGAATGCCAGGGAAATCACGAATTGGAATCACGAAAAAAACAGAAACTAAATTGAATTAGCTATGCAAATGTTGGGTGAGTGTTTTTTTTTTCTTTTGTGATTTGTGTGCAATATTTATTGGGGTTTGCTTATGTCATAAAGCGCGAAGAGAGACACGCCCTAAGTGGATTCGTTGTGGGCGCTTTGAAGCGATTATATACGAATTATATCCCATTATGAATATGAATTTTTTGTTCTTAACCATTACATTCTTGACTTATTACTCTTTCTAATGCCCTGCTATATAAGTACTTGCCACTTCAAATAACTTGAAATCGTTTAAAGCCTGCTGTCAGCAATCCAATATGAACCCCCGACTTCAATTACCCCCTAAATTGCATTAGAGGCACATTAGACGCGGCCCAAATCAAAAGCGACAGCCCCTCGACAGCCACTAGAGGTGCCTGACCTGTGATGGGCCTTGGGCACTCCCGTCATAACTCCCAGATGAAACATAAGTTATCGTACGAGTATATGTATATCTATCTATCTGTCTGTCATATTGAATCAGTCAAGAGTAAATAGAATTTGCACCTGATTACGATTAGAGCACAGAGCCACCCAGGCAGCCCGTCACTGAAGGGGGCATTGCCCCGAGGAGGAGAGAAGAGAGCTATCTACGTGCCAAGATGTTTCGTAATGCGTTCGTAAGTCCTCATCTAATCCCATTACCTCTCACACACACACACACACACACTCGCATTCTCCCAGCTAGGGACCCAAACATCAGCAGCCACTAAATGCACTGCAATTTGTGGCAAGTCTTTTTTTTCGGTCTCTATTTTATTTTCATGGGATTTTTTTTTTATATTTTTGAAGATATCTTTTGGCGGTGCCTTTTATGGGTGGTAGTACAAATCAATAAACTATTTGCGGTGTCGGCTGTTGGCGCTTTGATTTATGATTTTCGATAAATGCCGCCTCAAACTCCAAAAAAAAAAAAACCCGAAACTTTACGGAGCGAAACGGAAGGGAAATCGACTCGAAATCTGTCGTCGCGCACATTCCGAGAGTCAAGGCAAAAAATTTGCATGGCAAAGCATTAACGCTTTTGCCATACCGATAATTGCATGAAATGAAATCCAAAAATTCCCTCACTCACCAGCAAGGCCCCCAGCTCCAGCCCCAGTCCCAGTCCCAGTCGTACCTTTTCCATCCGCATCCCCCCCTCTTTCCAATTGCAACCAATTCCATTCGAATGGATCGCTTCACTTTTCGACACGTTCACGTTTGCTTGACTTTGCCTTTGGCCACTCCTTTGGCTCCAAAAACTACCACTCCACTCCCGCTCCCTCTCTTTCGCTCTGTATACAGATACTGTATCTGTATCTGGCCCTCTCTTTCAGATGATTCTGCATTCGAATATCGATTGAGTGTTGCCGCTGGTATGCTCCTCATCTCTGTTATTTTTCTTTTTATTCAATTATAGTTATATGGTGTCCCTGTCTCTGACTCTGGAGTGCCAGGAAAAGTTTATTTCGTGTGGATTGGGGCCTCCATTCTGAGAGGAGCAGTCACAGGGGGAGCGGAGAGGAGAGCCCCGCCCTAGCAATAGGAAATCAAATTGCTCCTCTGTGGCTTTTCTTTACACGAAACTCAACGAAAATGGGGTTTAATGGAATTTTTATGCGCGCCAACATCCCAAAGAATTTTCCATCATACGCTAAGTGATAGAGATTCCCAGAGAGAGAGAGAGAGAAACGCGATAGAAGAACCTTTGAAGAACCGCAAATTGGATGTTTTATGAGGGAATAGAAGTGCGAAATTTAAGTCCTATAAATAGAATCCTGATTAGATAGGACAAATAGATAAGAGTACTCATAAGTGTTCTTTTTAATATGGTTTTTGATTTCTAAATGGATTTTTATCAATCATTAATTATTCAGAAACGTATTACACAAGGAAATTTAGCGTATATAAATCCCTAAGGGCAAAGCTATCTAAGACAAGAAGATCTTATTTGAAGAAGAGAGGGATTTTAGGTATCAGAAGTCGGTCCCAGAACCCGAAAACAATATACACAGCCCTTCCAGCAGCATTTTTCTCCTCTCAATATAAAACATCTTGGAAAGTAATGCCTTCATCTACCTACTATAACTTTTTCCTTCAGCCATTTAGTACATATATATCTTTATTTTGTTTCCTTGCCTTCTATGCCTCTATTCCTCTCACTCCTCTCCCATTAAGCAGCACACTTACCCTCTGACCGTGCAACAAACTTTCAACAGGCAAACATCAAACTCTCGACATGTGCACCCATGAAATCTGATATGCCACATCGACAGAGAGCGAGAGAGAGAGAGGCAAGGTCCCGAGCCCTTAGAGCCAACCCCCTGCTCTCGATCCAACGTGCTGCTAATAGAATAATTCGTTAATGTAACTACAAGATACAAAGATACGCAGATAGACAATAATCCATTGACAGCGACGATTATCATTGGCTTTTTATCTAAATTTAATACGATGCGAGCCAAAAGATTGCACTTTTGGCAGGCAGACAGGCAGAGCAGTCCATCTGTTCCTCCTCTACTGTGTGATGATGTTCTGGGGGGATGGGGTGTGGGGTATACTCACATGGATGGGTGGCGGCAAAGGGATAGTCGAGCGTTGGCAGGCGCGGCGGATGCGGTCCGCAGGGATGGAGGGCGGGCGGGCACTGATAGCAAAACATTCCTCTGCCCGCAGCTGCAGGACCGAGCTGTAAACAGAAAACCGAATGAATATATGTAGAATCAGAGTCACAATCGGAATCGATATAAAGAATCTTTAAATTGCATATAATTTTGATAAATTCACTTGCCCGTCACTGAACAAGAAACTTGTAATTTAAATGCACAATTCAATTGAAGATCGGGACAGCAAAGACTGGGCCTCCTCCGACTGAGACTGAATCTTCGACTGAGACTTTGACTTCGACTTCGACTTGAACCAAATTGAGACTGAGAATGCGGGCATGAGGCATGAGGCATGGCATGGGCTTCGGGGTATAGCAGCAGCGACTCTGCGTCGCCTTTAATGTTGTCATATGCACCTCAAACTCAATTCGATTCAATTAAAGGCAATTACAGACTTCTGACAAATAATCTACAATCGATTTCATCTGCTTTTGCATCTTCTGACTGTTGCACTGTATCTGTATCTGTATCTGTCGTTGTTGTCGTCGTCGTCGTCGTCGTCGCCGTAGCCGTCGTCTGCATACAATTAAATTGTCCTCAAACGAATCAATTGATTTAAATTAATTGCATTTGCCGCAAAAGACTCGAAACTGTAAGTATTCGTATTGCCATCGCTGTGTAACTCAAGAACATGCCAGACACTCTCCTCTCTGTTGATGAACTCACATCAGTTATGAGCCGACGAATGCATTTGGTTTCCATGAATTTTGCTGGCGCCTTGCCTCAAATGCATTTTACTGCTTAATTAGTTGAGGAATTTCTCATGCATAACCACCACCCCGGGGTGGAAAATTCCCTTCTGGAAAAACCCATCCATAGATGATGGGAGGAGAAAAAGTCAAAATGTCACACGAAAGATGAGTAAGAGCCTTTGAGAAAGTATCTTTCCTTTTTGCAATCTGTAATCGATATGGGTGGGAATGCACAGTGAAGATCTTTTTGAAGGCTTGCAAAAGATCAGAACATACAAAAAAACAGAAGATCATTTATCTTGTTTCATCAATCTATGATATTTACTCCGATCTTGTATGGTACTTCTTTCTCATACATTCCTAAATTCAGTTTCTCTATAAAAAGCTCTTCCAAAATGCATTTCGAAACAAACAAAATGCATGAATATTTCCTCATTCATATAAAGTACTGTCTGTACCGCCATCAATATGTAATAGTTCCTGCATACATTTGGTATAAATATTACCATCCCATATCCATCCCATGGACAGATGCCAATTTCCTGTGTTTGTATTTCCAAAAAGTGTTTTTATTTTTGAATATCACATTTCCAGTTACATTTCAATTGCAATTAAAATTAATTGTAAGCTTCGCCCCAAAAGCCACCCAAAAAACCAGACCAGACCAGACCAGACCATAAGCCACTGGTGCACCACCTCGACTGCAGGTGGGGCATTCCCAATTTTCCTCTTTTTCGATGGCATTCTGCTTTCCTCTTTCTCCTTTTTGGTTAGCATTTTGCTTTTCCATTTTCCTCTATCTCTATCTTCCTCTGTCGGTGACATTTTAATTTATTTGAGTAAATTTGTTAAATATTTTTTATGAATTTTATTTATGGCAGAGGCCACACGACAGGCCGCCCCCGCCCCCGCCTCCGCCCATTACACCCACCCATTACACTACTGGCACTGGCACTGGTACTCCCACTGCACCACAAGTGTTAGCATATCATGTTACAGACTATTTCCGCCAAATTTACACACGCAAAATAATTTAACGTGCTCAGCGGTTGGTTGCGCCCTGCGCGTGTCCTGTGTCCTGCCTCCTGCCTGGTCACAGATGCGGTCCTGGTCCCCAAAGCGCTGGGCGGAATGCCCCCGACAAGTGGCGCCAATAAATTTCCATTTAGCAAGAGAACGAGCCGGGCCATCACCTGTCCCTGGGTTCCCCGTCCCCCAACCTCATCTCCGTGAGCCCTGGGCCCTGGGCATTCCATTAGAATTGTGAGAATTTGTAATTTTGCATAATTGTTATATTTGGAGTCCGTCGGCCGCAAAACTCATTTGCCAAATGGAAAATTGCCATTTCGTGTCTAATGTTGCACATGCGGCCTCGGCTTCGGCCTCCACCGCTGCCGGTGGACCTGCGTCCTGCTCTAAAGTTTTAGTGCCATCATCCGCTCTAAAGGTACCGGGGTATAGGGCCCAGAGGTAGGGACGCCGTCACTGGTGTTGTTAGTGAATTAATTTCCTCTGAATAATTTATGCTGAATTATTTTGGACGTATTAAATAGGCACGGCACACAGGCTTTCCCAGAGACAGAGATGGCAGCGGCACAGTCATTCCCAGCGAGAGGGAGACGGAGAGGTCAGGGGTCAGAGGGAAGTAGGGTTTTAGTGGCAGAGTAGTAGTGCTTTTGCGGGATAATACTCCCATGTGTGCATCGGGCTGTGCGAGAGAGAGAGAGCGAGAGCGCACTTGGGGCTTGGACCTTTCGGGGCGTTACATTTAAATCAAATCAAAAAGCTACATATTTCTGAAATTGATTTTTGAAATTTTAATGCCCTTCCCAAAGAGCCGTAGAGATTATGAGGAATTGGTTGTAATGGAATGGGGGACTTTAGTCCTTTATTTGGGGGAGGGTGGAACAGAAACTAATACTTATAGTATTCCGATCTTCAGATCTTTCTATGAAAAGTTTACTTAAGAACTTTATAGATCCTTTACCGATTTAAGACCTAATTATCTCCATCAAAAACCCTCCGCTCAATACTCCAATCTCTATCAGAGTTCAGAGCTCCTCCACTGTTCCCTCTGTCATTTTGCAGCCTACTTTCAGGCACCCGCTGCTAATTGTCGAACACCTGCCACGGCCAATGGTGGCTCCAAGTGCCAAAAGTGACAGCAGCCAACACGTGGCACAGGCTCAGAGTTTTAGTGTGTGTTGTAGTTGCTGTTGCTGTTGCTTTCGGTGCTCCTGCAATTGGTGTGGCAACTGTCGCCGACTGGCGGCAACGCCAAGCCAAATGCAATTATCCAATTGCACGAAATGCACTTGGCACAATGTTTGTGGCCTAGACAATGCAACACTCGACACTCACACAGTCGAACGGTGTATCTATGAGAGGGAGGGAGTGTGTGTGTGTGTGTGCGAGTGTCTGGATGGATGGTGGGGCAGAGCACACGCGAAATTCAATTAAGTGCGCACTAAACAGCGCAACGATTTCGATTTGGCTGCAACACTCCAAAGAGGAGGAGCAGTAGGTGGAGGTGGAGAGCGATGGAGAGACCGGGGTCATACGTGCAAATCTGTGTGGTAAGCCTTTGTTGTCCAACCTGTCCTCGGACAGCACCAGCACCAGCAGCAGCTGCAGCAACAGTGGGGTTTTAGTAATGGAGGCTTTCGCTAGTTTCTGCCACGAGCCGACGCCAAAAACGGGGAAATTCAATCAGAGCTGGGGGATTACATAGGGACCACAGAGAGAGGGAAGGGACCGTGCACAGACAGAGACGGAAGCGGATGCAATGTTCACAAAATTGCATTAACTGCCGGAGCAGTGGCAGTGGGGCAGATAAAGGGAGTTTGCTGCAAGTGGGAGGCCATTCCCGTGGTCCCACTTGCGATGATGGCATTTCCAAATGATCTATTTTTATCAATCTGATGTGTAAAACGAGATAAAAGAAGTACTATACTTAATAGAAAGAGAGTTCGAGTGGCTGATAACCGATCTGAAATCTTAACAAAGAAAAGGTCAAGGGCAACCAAAAAAGGTCAAATGATTTTCATTCAAAATTCATTCATATTGTGTGGGATATATATTTTGTGCACTTAGCTCTTTCAATTGTACAGATTTGTAGAATCTCTTTCGAGTTAAGATTATAGAAAAGAACAGCTAACACCCGTCAATCTCTTTGCTATGTTTCTTTTCTTGGCTCACTTGTGTCATCTATATGTTCCATTATCTAAGGGCTCCAATTATTTTCATACCTACATATAGTATGTAATTTCCTCCAATCTTAAATGATCACCATATCCCTTTGAAAGCCTTGGTACATTCTGATGTTGCTTCATTCGCACTCGACTTTCCTCTCTGTCTGCCGTTCTCCCCCTGCCATTTCGCCTCTTTTGCTCCCCATTCATACCCTCGTCTGGCTTCTGCCTCTGGGTGTTGCACTCGCTGATTGACTTGTGTTTCCATTTTTAATTTGGTTAATTCAAATTAATCAAGCGACAGTTGATAATTTCTCCGCGCTGCAAAATGCATTTGTTGCATGGAAAAAGTGCATTGGCATTGGAGTAGTCGTCGTCATCTCATACATATTCATGCACATTCATCGCATTCACGTATTCACACATTCGTATTCATGTTTCCGACATTCAGTGTTGTCGTCCGATTTTTTGTCATTCTCGTCTGTCGTCCAGACGCATTTCCCCACTTTGTTGTTTGCTCAATTAATGCAATTGCTCGTTTTGTCTCTTTCGTTGGTCTGCTTGTTGTTCTTGTTGTTGTTCCTGTTGCTTTTTTTGTTTTTTTTTTTTTGTTATTCGTGCCATTATTAATTTATATTTATATTACTTTTTATACGAGCAGCGGCAGCTGTTGCATAATGCCCTCTGCCGTTGCTGTTGCATCAAATTGCATTATATTCTGATGCGTTTTAATTAATTTTGAGTTAATTTTGTATATTCTTTTTTTCGGGCTTGTTTCAGGCACTCAAAATATTCGTCGCTTGGTACTTAAAAAAAGAGTCTGGTCTGTGATTTAATGGGTGAGTACTTTGGTCTTTTAACTTTTGGGAATTTGGGAATGGGAAGAAGAAGAGCTAAAGATCGAAGTTAGATCTCTATAGAAGTGATAAATTAGCGATAACTTTCAGGGCTCTCTCCGCAGCATAGATAAAGAATAGATGAGATTTGATAAGGAGACCTTTTTAAAGTAAAATCTACATGAAATATCCAACTTTCCAGCTTTAAATCTTCTTCTGAGACTTTACTTATTTATTAAATAATTGATTATCCAGAAATCCCAAGAGATCTCTTCGGAAAGACAG